GTCCATTAGTAAGATGATGGACAAGCAATATATGCATTCTGATCCACAGACAGCTGGGGCACAAGTTTTTCAACGGAATTCACTACCATCTGGAAAATGCTTCGATCACTCTCATGGTGTGATCAATCAATTATTGGGCCATTCGCGATTGATTTATCAGGCTTCAAATATTTCGTGAACGAACGTCTGTTAACATTGATGCACCTAGTGGATTGCAGAGCACATGTGGTGGTTACCAAGAGTATGACATGATTTAGAGACTTTGAAGCACCATTGACTGACTAGGGGTAGTGGAGCACCACTGGTAGATCATTACCTTTTCTGGTGAGCACCATGCCTTCCAGCCGTTGGAGCTGGCCGATTCGAATAGGGAATAATGACATATTGATCTTGCCGAGCCCATGGCAAGATAGCCTCGGCATCGCTCTGGCACTTTTTCTTCATGATTTGGCGTAAATTTAACACACCGCAAATCATAAATGAGATGTTTATAACAGTATAAAGATGTCACTGAAGGTAAGAGTACTAGATTTAGATGGAAGATCCTTAAAACTGAGGTTTTCTGCTGCCACTGCCATGATCTGCCACCCCCGAATTGTAGGTCTGCATTTTCAACAAGGTCACTGCGGCACTTGACCGGGCATGGGAACCCACCTTATTGGGAACAAGTGTGCATGGCTGCTACAAGCTTCAGTTCTCAATGTTTAGTCTCACTATTATGTACAGAGTAGCTCGTAAATATTGGTAATATACTACATTTTTTGGCGTTATGTCCACACTCCTCACAGAGTTGTCAGCGAAGTTCAATGCCCTGGTCTGACAGTTAACTGCCCTTTTGCGTTGTTGTTCACTGCACGCCCTATCTTGCTCCAGTGTTCTAATCCCACTGATACCACAGTCGCGTATGCTCAATGATGAGTCCCTGTTAGGACTGACTGTTCAGTTCTTTTGAGTCGATGTTGAGCCTCCGAAGAATCAATATCTCACCTCTTTGCTGGCTCGTCATTTTCCCTTGACCACAGACACTGCTTTTCCTTTTTTTTTTGGTGGTGTTACGGTGATAAACTATTCACAAAATTACTCTATCATTGGGAAATTACAAAAGAGAGCCGCGATTTTCACCCCGGATACTGCTTCATCTGAAATCACCCAATTGACACTAGATATTCGAAAGATAGTGAATTGTATATAAACGGTTAAGTGCTATCAAGATTCATACAGTAATTTGGAAAAAAAGGCACTGAGACATCACCAAATATACACATTCATAATTACAAATGAAGAAAGAATCTATCCCATGGCCCTTTTTCTCGGGGATTCTTATAAAGTTCTTTGCCATCAGATGCAGGGCTATTCTCACCCAGAGCAGCAGCAACTGTTCGGACGAGAGACTTCATCGGAAAGACTTCCACTGGTCGGTTCTTCACCTTTTCGCTGGCAGTTGGGACAGGTAAAGACTGGCCTGTTAGATTCGAGTGTTATCTGTTTGATCAACTGCAGGAGTTCATGGGGTTCGATCTGGGGATAGGACATTGCTTCCTGGAGAAAAGGGGGGAGCGGGATAGGTTGATCATGATGGTAATGGGGGTGCTGCTGCCGATAATGTTTGTCAATGGTATCGAACCATGTTAGTAGGCAACTTTCACAGAAAATATGCCTGCATTCAGGCAACCTGGTAACCTGGTTTGGATGGACATATTTTTCAGCATAACTAGGTGGTGCTTACAGGTAAGGCGACCACATCGGTGAGGCACACGTGCCACACGTAATATCGGGTTCCAGTTTTAAGGGATTCTATCTATGGGTCAGTCAAGGCTGTCATTGCGGTCCAGAAAAGAACCTCACAATCATTTCACTAGATTGAAATTGCCCAGTGATGCTCGCCTGAGAAATCTTCAGTGCTTCTTCAGCACGTTCAGCTTGTTTCTCAGCTTCTGTCTGTGAACATTTCGCTTTTGTCGTCTCCTAGAGAATAAATTAAACGGAGGAGTTCAATGCACGTCACTATTTTTACCTTTTTAAGCTTCTTGACAAAGGCCTGCAATTCCAAAATTTTCATACACAAAGCTTTAGAACTTGTGTCTTCCTCGTCTGATGAAATTTCGATGATGTCCCTGAGTGGCATACGTTGTTTACCCTTCCCACAATTTACTGAAGAAGGTGCAGGATAGTCATCTTCAACGACAAACAGCTCCGATCCTTCCAGATCATGAGGCAATGGTGGTTTTCGGTGGTGTTTCGTTCCTCTAGCGGGCGGCATGGTGGTTTAGAGCTAAGAAGTTCTCAGTATGCGTGATGCGTGGGTGCAGATTTGAAACCCCGACAGTTGCCGACCACGTGGAAACACTTAACGCACGTTGATCGACTTCGTTTATCCTCCCTGTTGCATGCCCATCACCCAATGTAGCCCCGACAGGCCTGTCTAGCCCAGAGGGTCGAAAACTCATCTGACAGTGTTCTGCCTTGTTTCCCTCATGACTTATGTTCTGGAGCGTGTTTGCATAGCCCTAGATGACATTCATATTATCTCCAGCTATTTCTACAGGTACATGACAGCATTTCGGGGATTGGTGGTCCGCAGCCATTCCTGCCTCTTTGGAATGAGCTTATATCAGCCGGCAAGTCAAAGGCACACGAGCAGTTCGAACTTCAAATTTTACCAAAAGCTCTAGTCTAGGATTTGATCGAGGGGCGGAGTGGGGGATGCGCAGAACTTAAAAATAGTCATGGCCAGAATCTGGCACTGTGGGCATGTGTGTCCGAACTTGGAATTCACTCTCACCACAATGTCGCGTCGTCCCTCCATTGCTCTACACGCTCGGGCTGCTCCCCAGGACACACTTTTATGACTTAGGTCGATATCATGGACTTTCAAACCGTAGATGACGTGTTCATACATAGATTATCGCCTGTAGTTGACCATGTTGAATGTGAGGAGCATCAAGACCTCCTTGGCAACATTGAAAGTCGTCTGGATGTGTCTCGCGACGCTATTCTGGTCATGCACGATTGAGATCACTATACCAGTCTCTGCTCGGTTCGAGATCGATCTAGTCTTTCTCAACGAGAGGCAGACGATGCAAATTTCACCTATAAATTCGAAGACACCGACACTATATCACAAGAGCTTCACATCACGTGGAAGCACGTTCCATTCTTGCCATCATTCTCATTCACGGGTATCCTCTGGAATCTGGACACCCGGGCCATCTCTCTACCATCTGACAAGCAGGAGAAAAATGTGTCTGCGATCCATAATTGGTTGTCAACAGACGTTCATGTCCTCTCCGATCACCTGTGTTGTTCCCATGGGTCTTGCAGTTGCCAGTGACCATCCTTTCATGCCACGACATGCGCGAAAACGCACCATCCCTCCTCTCAACTGGTGTTTGTCCCAATTACTTTCCAACCCCTCTCCTATTATACTGGGTCCATGTTCAGTCATCGATATCGCCGCATTCTCATATGCAAGTTCCGGTATCGGAATCACGATTATTATCGGAAACAGATGGTCAGCCTCGCGACTTCTACCAGGATGGAATTCCGGAAAATGAGATATGCAATGGGCCGAGGGACTTGGTTTCAAATTTCTTGTACGAATGCTCTCAAAGCAATTTAAGTCCGACGATTTTATCTCTCTACTAGATCCAGTTTTCCCTTATTGCCCAGAACTCTCAAATTCCCGTGTTAAGCTCCATGAAGACCGCAAATCCATTGTCAAAGGCTGGTGGAATGGCCACCACCGCAATACAGACGTTAACAACATTTTCCGATGAATGCGCAGTTCCCCTACCTCCAACGACCTCCACGTCAACACAAGATATATCACCAGCGCTGTCAATCCTGCCGATGGACCCTCAAGAGGCACTTATCCGTCCTCCTCACTGGTCCTACCCCCCATCTCAATACCAGATGTTTTGCTTCCCCTCTTCGTTGGCTTCGACAATACGACTTCGTTCTTCTCTCCTACTTTGTGGGGATCACGTACCCTGGAGGCGTCTTTCAGACTCCTACAACATTGGGGATCCATCGCATGCAATTCCCTCTCGAAAGTCTATGTGTTCTTCAGGACAAACACAGTTTTCACCCAAAAATCTAGTCAAATCCTTACCTTGCAAAATAGCGGGATTGTTCTTATCTGTAACCCAGTCACTCGATGAGATTTATGACTAAGCAGGCCATCCAGCTCGATGACCTAATTTCAAATTCTATCATCGAGATCAAAACAGCCAATAGGTCTAGACTTCGGAGTTGCACCTTGGCTTCAAAACTGCCAGAAGCATGTTTGCTGCTGCATATCTGGTGTGCAATGCATAGAGTCAAGGTGTGTAAGTGCTCGCACCATTTCCTAGGAAATTTCACTACTGTCCCTGAAGGTATATAGTCACAGTGTTTCTATGATGCACCCCTCTTTACATTCTTCATAATACGCCCTGCACTATGTAGCAATATATATGAGTATCTCTTCGATATGAATATGACCATGGCTCTATAAGCGCTATGAGTAGGCTTTTGAAATTTCTTTATGGCAAAAATAACTCAAAGAAACAATCTGCTACATACCTTGTGCAGTGATTTCCTTTCGTAGTTTTTTTTTCATCTTTATGCAACGTTTTGCATCTCCTTGGGTCTTCACTGAAGCATACATCGCCCGAGGCCAAATTGCTCAATTTGGACATGATCTCCTGGAAAAACGTAGTCATGGCGATTGCCGAACGGCTTTAATTGGATCTGATTTCCCACACTATCACTTTTCTCTTCCGCACCAACATGTCAATTGACCATTCTTCTCCAGTTGAAAGCCCTGCAGGTATACACTAACTGTTCTTAAAATCGGAGGATTGGCCTGTGCTTAATTTCTTATTTATGAAGCAACAGGATACACTGCTGCGAAACGGTCCTTATTGGTCTGGTCTGTTCCGATCATTTGCCGAGCATTCCTTGAGACACCTTTGGATCCTGAACAATGGTTTCATCTGCGATCGATGGAAAGTGATATAGAGTTAAAGTTCTTGCAGTTTGGGATGGCCATGGCCCGGTCCCTAAAGTCAATTGCAGATGAAGGCTGGGAGAAGGTCAAAGGGGGTAAACCGAAAAATCACATTGACAATATCGGCAGTGGTCGCAACGCTTCCAAGTTTGCGGGCCACCTTGAGACCCTTATACTCGTGAGAGCAGTAGATATTGCAGCTGGTTTTCTTTGCCTGCCTACAAGGTCTTACTATCCAAGCTTCCAGAAGTCAATAAGTCTTGACGAGCATCAAATGGGGGTATATTATATCTAACAATGCCCTATAATGCTTTCTGACTGACCCTCGTCATCAGTTTTTACGGTGACTAGAATCATGGCCTCAGAAACTAGCCGAAATTCAGACTTCCCTTCGCATGTATAAGGAACGTGCATCGATGCCACTTCCTCCCTTGGCCCCGGGGGCCTCCTTTATGCAGGAGATCTTGCACGGCGATGTTTGTCTTGTGCATCATTGGAAGCACGAGTCAGCCAAAAATTGGCTGAAGGTACTGTCTGTGTTGGATGGAGTGGCTTTTCACATCCGGTTACTTTGTTACGTGGGTTCTGTTCTTTACATAGCAATTTGATTGTATTCTGACAAAAAATTTCTTCAGCACAGTGGAGTTGAGCAAACGACACGTTGGCAAAGGTAGGAAGCTTTCGATAGTCAAGAAAATATCCTGACCAATTTCAAGGTTTATCAATGAGAATTTTAATCACCCTGACATCCAAACGATTATGGGCAACGAAGAGACATTGAAGAAATTTAAGCAGAGCCTTCCTCATTGGAAGCAAAGCTTTGCAAACACCGTGGCAATCTCTCCCCTTCTGCTTATTATGGGACAAGGCATGGGTCAGACGTTAAATACGTCCCTTGCTTTGCAAGTGAGAAATCATTTATTACTTTCAGATATTCATCGCTTACGTTTTCTTAGGTCAGTGGAAGGCTGTCTTCGATTGGAAAACCAGACCTCATCGTACGAGTTGAGGAACTCCTTTGGCGTTGCATTATTGGTATCGCTTGGGGTTCTTGGACAAGCGAGGTTGGATTAACGGACTTCCTCGAAGCAATCAGTCCACTAATCAACAATATGAAACCTTTGAGGGAGAAGCAATCAGGTGCCACACCTTGGGATGAATTTGATGGGGAGGACACATGGTTCGAGCATGCTATTCACTTTATCCGGCAGAATGATGTCGCAGGTTTGGGTGCGAGGGTGGGTGCTGAGATGATCGAATGGCTCAGGAAAAGCAGGAAGGGCTGGATTAAGTGAGGGGGTCGCAAGACGGATCGAATACGAGGAGAGAGAGCAAGATCCCGCTCTCCCCGTAGAGTCGCACGGTTACAGTTAGAGACTCGAGGAAGGTCATCAAGCCTCCCTCGGTTCCCTCCATCTAAGGCTGCACCCTTCATGCCTGAATCAATACCCAGAATTCATCGAATCTTAACCTATCGAGTACACAAATGGGGGCATGAAAACTATCTGAACTTCAGAGAACGACCCGAGTTGTCACCCCCATGGTGCGATGCACCAATAATGCCCCTTCCGACAGTTCAAGATATTGATCCGATATCCGTGCAGGACATCATCATAGGAGAGCTTCCTCCCGTTCGGAAGGAAAGCTCTCAAAACTTCTTTCCATTATCTCGACAACAAAAAATCCTACATGAACGAAGACTAACGCAAGACATCCACTCAAACTGGCAGAAGTTAATGTTGATGGCGCCATCCATAGGAATGACTACGGTTATTCCATCAGTCGCAGGGCGGAAAAGGGCGCAATCCGAAGCTTTCAGCAATACTGGGGACACTCTTTTGTTGAAAAAAACCAAGCTCGATCGAGGTCTCTCTCGTTCTGGGGCAAATATCGTTTCTCCGATCCTTTGGGATCCGAAGAGAAAGGAGTACATTTCTTGTGATTTTTTTCCCTTGCTGTCCAATGTTAGTACACTCTCTCTCTCGGAAATCTTAGATATTCACTTTTGATTAGGAGCTTGACGATCGAATCACCATTCGCGGTTGGAATGATTGCGTTGTTAATGACAAGACAGGTAGTCCCCGGTACAAGCCCGACACAGGAAAGGGCTTGGAAGAATCAATGATTGTGACTCTGAGCTTTTCCAATGCAATGAAGAATCCTACGGCGACCCTGGAGACCTTCCGTAACTACCACATATTCCTTTATGGCACAAAGACTTCACCTCTCACCTGGTCATTGAACGACCTATCTAAGGTTGGCAATGTCGATATTGTCCGAGAGGTCCAAGGTTAGGCTCACTCCTTCCGTGAAATATTGATCCTTATGCTCCACTAGATCATCAAAGGCGAAGCTCCGACCAGACAAAGGACTATCTTCACGTCAATCTTTCCTTACACGAAATATATGAGGAAGGCCTGGAAGATGAAGGACGTGTTTTAAACGCACTCTCTCTGCCCTGCAGCACTTCTGAAACTGGACACCCTTTACAATTGTACATTGAAAACCTTAGCTCATTTCATTTTGGAGGCTCATGAATGTTAGGATTGTATCAAGCCACATCAGAGCCTTTGAGCAGACATCTGACCTTCCAGAAGATATCTTCGATGCCAGTTATCCAATCTCAGCAACAAATTTCTGGTTAGTCGCGACGAAAGGAGTGATCAGTTATATTCATTCTGATTGTCACGGTGTTGGTACCTTCGTGGAAGTTCTTTGTGGGCAGAAGTTGTGGTATGTGTTTCAGCATCATGGGAGTCGAAGACAAGACAGTCATATAGACGAGTATATGGGTGATTGGGCGCCTGGATTTATTCCGGATCCTAGGGAATGGGAGGCCGAAGTTGTTTTGCTGGAACCCGGCTCTGCCTTGTAAGTTCATGCTGCAATATGTTGAAACATGCTAACACGAAGGAAGTTATATGCATCCGGATACTCATCATGCTGTTCTGACGCTCGAGAACTGCATTGTGAGGGGCGGTCATTTCTATTCCACCGTTACCCTTTCGAAAACCATCTCGGGCTGGGTTCATACGTGTATGCTTGGGTACAGGATCATCAATGTTGTACACCCGGAGCTTCATCAGCTCCTCCTTCGTATGATGTGTTACTTTCACACCGTTATTGGTGAGAAAGGTCCTGAAAGTGAGCGGTTCTAACTAGCGGCATTCTTTGCTTTTACCAATACTACTAGCTCAAGACACAGACATTCCCAGTATAACAAGAGATGGACTGCTCAAACTCATTGCGTTGGGAAATCTGTGTATATTCGGATCAGCCTTACTTCCTTGCATCCTGCCAGACTCCGCCGATGCCACGAGGCCCGCAATCACCATGGCCGTAGGTGCCTACATATCCATAATCCGGCATCTGCGGGTGGATTTTGGTTTAGTTTTCCTTGCAGAAAATAATGCCGTCGAGCCCTCCATCGATTCCACCATCCTTGTTGACAACAAATTAAGCGTCTATGCTCGGTTTCTCGACATTGGGGATTTTGCTAGAAGCTCCATGGCTCACTTTGGGCATTCTTTGATCTTCTACGCTCGAAAGGCTTTAAGAGTGCGCAAGGCTCAGGGAGAACATGAATCCCTCATGTTTAATTTTGATTCATTTCGTCAAGATGTTGCAAATTCGTTGGAGACCTTTTTGCAAATGGAGCTGACCACTGACTTTCTCCATGCGTACAAGTGACGGGTGGCACGTTTGCGTGTTAGGCCCATATTTTTGGTTCGCAAGAAAGTTGACCTCCTTGGTAAGTGGGGAATTTGACACATATGCTAATCTAACAATCACAACAGATCCGGGTGCCTATTTCGACTGGAATACAGCCACCAATTTTGATTGCTCTGACGTTGAAGATGATATAGATGATAGTGATGGAGATGACCATGAATTAGGAAAGAAAGAGGATGGCCACGGCAGAGATGACAGTGGGTCAAAGGACGATGATACAGAGAAAAAGAAGGATGCTCCCGAGGAGCTTCAGGAATCTGACGTCAAGTCAGAACCAATGTCAGGTGAGGATGAATCTATGCACTCGGAGTACATGCCAAGCAAGTCCGTTCTATAATGCCTTCGTATGAAATACTTGTATGCGCTAAGGATGTGTGTTTTTTCATGACAGCCTTTGGCCAATTTATGTTTCTCTTCTAACAATTTTAAAACTATGTTTATTGTGGCTAAAGTAAAGCAATGACTGTCAATCATACTAGTTTCTGCGTTTTTTGCCTCTTGCAATATGACTCAAGTGCTAACCCGCACTCAAAATATATCTGCGCATTCTTGGATTCCACCCCTGTCATGGATGAGCTTCCAGGCTCTGTACATAATTACATTACAGGTTGCACTTGCTGTTTCAAAATATACATTCCAAAAAAAAGGAGAAAATCATATTATAATCGGGCCAGAGGCACTTGGGGCTGTCCAAGCAGGGATGCATTTCATGATGAGGTTGGTGCTTGTGGAACGGAATGATGAGGTCATCTGCTGGTACGACATATAAGAAAAGGTGGCAAGGAAATTGGTGTATGCTGCCTACCTCGTCCATGAAGACCATGTTCTCCTTCTCTGAATCTGAATCTGGTCTAGATAGATGCTCATTTGCTTGAATTTGAGTCCAAGTTCTCACAATTGAAACAGCTCTGCTATGTGGCACTCAAGCCAGCATAATTTGGTGACATGGTAAGATGGTTTCCACTGATGTGATTTTGGCCAAGTCAAGCAGGAGCTTGATAGGATGCGTCGGACAAAGTCTTCAAAAGACAGCTTATTTGCGGATTCAAGAGCGTCAGGACTGAAAGCGAAGTCCTCAGAAGTGACATCAGGAGATGGTGATTCATCTTCAGTCGAGACTGTTTTCAGGCGTAAAGAAAGGATGAATTTATGGGCAGAATAGCAATTGCGTTTAACAAAGCTTCATCACTTGCTGGGCTCCAGGCTTCCCTGGCTGTGTGTCTTCTCAGCAAAGTGGTCGCTGAGTGCATTGCACGCCAGATATGCAGCAGCAAACATGCTTCTGGCAGTTTTGAAGCCAAGGTGCAAAGTCCGAAGTCTAGACCTATTGCCTGTTTTGATCTCGATGATAGAATTTGAAATTAGGTCATCAAGCTGGATGGCCTGCTTAGTCATAAATCTCATCGAGCGACAGGGGTTACCTATACGACTAACTTGGTATGCAAATGAGGCTACTTTTTGGGGAGGATGTTGTGAATCCGATATAATCCTAGTATAAAGACCGACGCAAAACCTGCCGCATTTTGATTGGTCTCTATACGCTAAATCCCCCTCTGCAAAGCACAGATTGTATTTCCCACACAAATACAACATTGACATGTCAGTTCTGCAATAGTCGTGGTCTCTGCCGTCGATAGTCCTGGCATTTCCTAGCATCCGAGTGCAATACATTGGGAGAGTGGTAGGAAACTGCAGCACAGGCAGTATGTGGGAGCGAATAGAGGGGAGGGAAGCGAGTAGCCTTATCGATGTCAGGACAGTTGGCAATCTTTCGAGCCCTTGAAGATTGACTATCATTACGCAAAAATGGACAGCTGAAGGTGTGACCAAATCGAATGGAGCGAGCTTTGCTGCTTGCTTGTGCTACTTGTTATATACAAATTATTGCCTTCCTCCCATAAAGTGCACGATGTCACTTCCTACACAAGGATGACGATGAAAAAGTGCTAGATATCTGAGTCATCTTCACGTCGTAATATCATATTGCAGAAATAACACAAGGAATTAACCAAATTATGAAAAGAGAAGAGCAACATTTCCAATGTATTGAAAATACAACAGACCAGTAAACAAAGCTCATAAAACTGCATTCGATCCAAAACTGTATGTGAAGACACAGAAGCCAATATAACAGAGCTGAAACTTTAGTTTTCCCTGGCGTACCGAATGCTAATGCCGAGGTAGACTCTACCTTCGGTGGCAGTGATGATACGGTGAACATCCAAGTCTTCTAAGTCCATGAAGTCTTCGGTTGTTTCAACGACCATGATTGGCCATGGATGCGGGGCATGATGCTCCTCACGTACCGGAGTGGGCTCTTCATCCTCCACACTGATAGCAATATCAAGCTCCGAACGCAGGGGTGAAAAAATTACTCACTGGGAGGTCTGTGCTTCTGCTGCGGGACTCGGGTTCTCAATACCACCTTCCCTAGGGCTTGGAGCCTTTACGCCCGGATTGTCTTGCTGCAACGGGGAAGCGTTAGCAGAGGACTTCGATGCCAAGTTGGGACTGTCACCAACAATATCTGATGGCATCTTGATGGGGAAGATAAGACTGGTGTCGCACCTGACGGAGGCTTTTATTTCACCAGAGGCAATGGCCGAAATGATCGGCATGCAGGCATGTATTTCGGATCAATTTTAGATAGAAGACGGCAATGACATTAGAGTCAGATTAGCTTGTCATGGGGTGATATCTGCTTAAAAAAGACTTCAGGATTATGGTGACCACTGATCGATAGTAATAAGGCGAGCCTGAGTCTGTATTGGCTCAGACTCATTCTAGGTTCAAGCCCATATAGGAGCCAGCTAAAGCCGGGCTTGAGTCGCTTTAGCTGGATGACGATGCCTGATTTGGGCAGGGTGTTTTCTTCACTTTTATTCTCACCTAGGACACATAAAATCATGCCCTGTGGTGCATACTATAAGATTCCAATATGGATGAAGGCAACTACACATCGAAAATGCTGATTAATACCATAAAATGGAGAACTGAGGTTTGAGATGACAAGATCCAGCCATCTTCAATCCCCACATTGCTCTTGTGACATCCACACTGAATGGACAAATTATTGTGTCAGCCTAATGTCTCTCTTATAAACACTGAATGGTCTCTCTGCCCGATGCTTCCTTGTCAATGGTAGCGGCAAAGTCACTACTGACCAGCGTTGGAAGGAAGGAGATGCGGATAGTCACCGCCTGAGACACATCGGGAGAATTCAGATGCCTCAAAGGCAGGGAAATCATCACACAACCTTAAAGAAATAAAGAAATGAGCCAATTATATGCATAGGAATGAATGGAGTGACTAGAACAAGTCGAATGGAGAGCGCGCGTCATAATTAGTGTAGTCCAATGTCTGAACTCGATTTCCTTTTTTGGTCTCGATGAAGGAATTTGAAAAATGGTCATCGAGCTGGATGGCCTGCTTAGTCAGAAATGCCATCAAGCAACAGGGGTTCCAGGTACAAAAATCCCCCACATTCTGCATCCCTTTTTCCATATCACGTCTGCTACTGTGCATCCTCACACACCAAGGTCATACTGCACCAGATCCTGCCATTCGGCGCTAGTGATCACTTGTTTTGACAATTATGGTTGGTCATGAACGCAGCACTTGTCTCCTCGTCGGTGGGAATACTTTCTTCATTCTCCACACTGAGGAAAATATCAAGGTCAGAACCGGAGTGTATAAAAATTACTGACTCGGAGTGAATGCTCTCTGCCACATCCGCCGTCCGGAAAGAGTACATAGGATTGGAATTTCTGTTCCACGGGGATTGAAGCCTCTGCACCTGCCTTGTTTTCCTGCAACGGGGCAGCCCCAGCAAAGGATGTTGACCCAGGGTTAAGGCTGTCACCAATGATATCAGAGGGAGAGCTGATGTCACACCTGATGAGAGCTTTTATAAGGCTTGAAGTTCAGATAGGATCAGACACATGAGTGCGATGGGAATAAGGACATTTGGAAGCTTCTGATAAACTTGTCATCAGTACATGTCCTTGAAAAAAGGACTTCAGGGTCCAATGTAACAATCATTCCGGGAATATGCAATAGCGCATTTGAATACAGAGAGCAAAGTTTTCACGGTAGGCCACATCCAAAATCGTAACCACTGATAACATATTTGGGAAGTATATACAGGAAAGTACATTTATACTGATCAGTCCGGAGATTGCATGACTTCAGCAACTCTTTCTTTCACCACCATCACTGCCCATTCATCTACAGTCACATCTATATGATTCAGGTTAAATGATGAATGCTGTCCGGGAAATCACATACCAAGTGGACGGGCCCTTGGCCAGACGAAGAAAGTGGGCCTAAGATGGAATGGTCTATCGACACATATTTACAGTCTCCCAACGTTCCAGTACAAGCGAAAAAGAAGTCCAGTGTCCTCTCCACTGACTGTTTGAAGGCTTTCAAGTACACCTTCCGCCAACCCTGTGCTTTCCTTGCAGATAGTATCAAAGACCATGCAAAATGAATGGCAGAAGTCTTTGCAAAATCAGCAATGCGAAGTGAGACCAGAGAATCCAAAGGTTTGGTGAATGCATCATGGGCAAGTGGTGTGTCAGGAAAGAGAATCAGAGAGTACTGCTCCTGAAGACGATATATTATGTCAAAATATGCCTGTCTCCCCTCACTGCGTGGCCCATATGCATCTGGTTTATGAGCATCGAAAATAGCGACAATGTCTAAGGCAGGAAGGGAGAGGAGCAAGTTGCCGAGTGCAACTATGTCGAGAAGCCCTTCAGCTGTATTGACCTTGAATTTGGACGAATCATTTTCTATGCCTGAAACCATCCTGATGAGGCATCGGAGAAAACAATTAGTTGATTGGCTTACTATCAGTGTTCAGCCCATCTTCAAGGTACAAAATCAGTCGAAAGAGGAGATCCCTCAGTTGGAAGTACAGAACTCTCTCGATTTTGACCCCATGTATATAAGTATCAACCCGACCTGAAATGGTTTTTGACAAAGTTGTAGTAGTGTAAAAATGTTGTCCTCTGACAATGGAATTTTCGAGTGTCACTACTGCATGAAGAGTGCCTGGTTGAATGAAACTATTCTTGTTATCAGTGGTAATCACACCATATCATTGAAAGGACGTACAGGACATTACCAGGCTCGAGGACAACAACTTCTGCTTTCCATTGCTTTGGGTCATTAACGAAGTCAAAATCCCAGTCATGGTATGCATGTATCAACTTGTCACGCTTTTTAACACGACGTTGAAAGAGGTACCAAAGCTGGTGGCCACAATGAACTTGGATAACTGTACAAACCCCAAGACAATAGGGCTTGATGCGGTCAATAGCACTTTTCGTTGCCACATACCAGAAGTGGGTGGCGGATGCAGGATACCCCTCTGTCTGAAAGATGCGCTCTGTGTTAACAGACGTCTGTTTGAAAACTCCCATGTCACTGGAAAAAATTCTACGAATAAGTCAGTTTTGAAACAAGAGTTCATTTTCGCTCCTTACAGTTGTAAGGGATGCAAATCCTGAGTGCGGCAGGGCAGATGAAGCACACTCAAAATAAGACCTTCATTTTCCTGGCTTTCTTCATGCAGTTCATGTAAAGACAGACGCATGTCACGGCCCTGTCCTTGGTGGTCTGTATACTGTGTTAATATATTGTCGTGTTGCAAACAAAAAACACAAACCTTGAAAATCTCGATTTGCATCAGGATTTCCAATCTTAGAAAGTGATGACAGCATCCAAGTGATCTGAGATGTCGTTGCACCAACCACTAGTATGTTGTGGTCATGAAAACGTTCAAGAGTGTGAACAGGATTGTTGATGGCCAAATCGAAATCCAGGTGATATACCAGCGCTGACTCTACAGTGGGTGCTACAGAAAGTGAAACTGAGGCATTAATACAGCACTTATGCCATCCATCCAGCAACGCTCGATCTTGAACCTCCTAAAAAACATCATTTATAGGATTTCGAAAAAGGGATGGGTGACATACATTACTAAGCAATGGCAAATGATAGAATGTATGGTATCTTTCACCCACTAAAATGGGGGGAGACTCAACCATTGTTCCAGAACAAGCTAGGTTGCGATCTTGTTTTAGTTGCTTTCAGCTAGCTGATACAGATGTAGATCGTTGCCTCTTTCGGTGATACAAGAAGGGATACTTGTTTGCTCGAACAAACAAAGAACCGTCTTCACCGATTTGACCGAGCTCAATGGTGGGGAGGTCGTTAATGTTCAAGCCAGTGTTTGGTGGATGGGGCCAGAGCACCGGAAAGTGTCTGTGGCCCCATTGTTCCACTTGCAATGTCAAGAGGCGGTGAACCTTGGGAATCGAACCAAGTGTAAAAGCTGGGAGGTGGCAGGCATTAAGAATTAATTGAGGAGGGGCACTGCAAGACCTTGGTTTCCGTTTTACTCGGTGTTTCTGTGCCGGCGATGATGAACGTCCTCTGCGTTGTTCTGCCTGGGGTCCCACCTTGCGAGCTCCCTCGAAGTTTCGACTATTATTAAGCCAAGCAACATTTGCCAATCCTACACGAACCTCCAGGCCAAGGATTTGGTTACACTGAACAAGGGCAGCAAATGCATCAGAAAACCAGGTATCCGCTCCCTCAGAGTCACCTCGGATCAATGGTGCAGCCTCAGTCAAGAAGTTTGTCAATCCAGTGTCACTTGTCCAACAGCCCCACGCGACACCGATAATACAATGCCAGAGCATTTCCTCAATACGTTGGAGGAGTTCCGGTTTTCCGTAAGATGCAAGTCGTCCTCCGACCTGCAAGCAAACATCAGTGATACCTTTGCGAGATGGTAAAAAAAAACTCCTACCTGTAAAGTAAGCGAGATGGAGATATGTTCTCCGGAACCTGGGTACAGAATGAGCAGGAGTGGTGATATCGCAACGGCATCAATGAAAGTTTTCTTCCAACGTTGCACATTTTGTTCAAAAGTCTCCTCAAAGATCATTGTAGTTCTGAGGTGGTCCGAGTGTTCAAACCTTACAGTTAGAGCGAGTACCATGAATACTAAGGGAATCTTACCTTTACGAATGAAAGTTTTTGCAAAGAAACAATCAGAAGTTGATTTAAACAGTGTTGGATCCCCTTACAAGGCAAAGCACCGAGCGAATATGAAAAGCGATGCCATCCAAAATACAAAGGGCATTGGTGTAGGTTTTGATGGACTCATCCTTCTGGTTGTTCACCAGGAGGCAAATATCGTGATAGACATTCTCTTGTTGGTTAGTTGCCCATGGACTTGGCATTGATCTGTTCCTATATGCACCAAGCAATGTGTAAAGTTCATTCAACTTCATGGTCCATTGCTCCAGCGGCTCCTGAATCTACCAGACAGGATTAGGAAGGCTCTCACATTCAAGAAATGACTAACTCACGAAAGCTGGGATAGTATGAACGAGTCGGGATACACAAAAAGATGCAGGCCATGTCCATCACCTTCGCAAGGATAATGGTGTCAAGAATTGCACCAAATTGGTCTTCTGTGGTGCTGATTTCATCGATACAGGCCTTTTCAGGTTCGCACCAATATCGGTCAGCAAACTGCTTCAGTGATCGTCCCATCGCGATATCTCCCAATTAATAGACTTTTCAGTGCAAATATGACATTAACTGCGTCCTCAAGCTCTAAGGTCAGAGAAGCATCATACCTAAATTGATGAGTGAGGAGCCAGATGATGGACCAAGATAGGATTGAGATAGGATCTCATTTACTCCCTTGACTTCAGCTATTCGTGAACCCAGATTAGAATTTTAATAAATTATTTAAGTATCCATATATATTGATTTATTTTGAGTCTATAGCTGCTTATGGAAAATAACAAGTCTGATTAATAAAAATCACAAGACCTTATCCATATACAGCAATGGCAAGGTGCCGGGGGTGCTCAGGCACAATCTCATTTGAAATGAGCGTACCAGTCTTGTATTCCATAATTTAGGGATCGATGGCACTAATGAACGTCATGGCGGGCTCGTGAGAGAAAATGGAGACCACCATCAAATCCCCCATGTCTTGGAGGACATTTGACGCCCAAACAGACGTCAGTGTCACTGCCGTCGTTGGACGTCGGCGGCCTGGTCTCCATCCTGCCCTCCCGCCCTCCCCCTTCCTCCCCAGTATGCTGCCCAGTCTCCCTCTACATCCCTAGCCTAAGATCCACCCTAACCCTCATCGTGCTCGAAGTCTCCTGGCTTTTCTGTCGTCGTTGTCATTGTGGTTGTCACTGTTACAGGTGCCGTCCCACTGCGTGATGAGGTCCAATATGGAAACCCTAGTGATATCCTGTGTCGTCATCGTGCCGCGTTTGCGTGTCCAATGATGATCGAGGTCGATGTGCGTGTGGGGGGCATGGGATGGGTCGTGGCAGAATATGGGTCGTATCAGGGCAATGGCAGGGGTGCATGGGTCACATCGTCAACGTACAGTGTTGCAGTCATATCTGGCAGTGCTGCCTCGGGCGAGGGCTTACGCGTGGGGTGGGGATGAAATGGTCACTACCCGGGGATCTTGGGGCTGCCGGATACGCCAAAAAGACCTAAATTTGACATGTCAGTATAAAAAACAGTTCAAACGTACCATATACCCATGACAATGGGCAAAACAGACGAGCGAGAGGGCAGGAAAGGAAGTGAACGTGGTGGAGAGGAACAGAAAATGGTGCTGCACAGCCACTCGATCACGGTACGGTTGTGTGGTCCAGGGTGATCGACCGAGCAGAATCCATCATTGGGATGCTTCCACTGCTTGATGTACACTCTCTGATGCCACAAAGCATATCGGAATCTTGTATTATAGGTATAAGGATTGTGTATATATAATTTTTAATGCAACAGGATACCCTCATCTCATGATAATCCTCAATTTACGTTGGTTGCCCCACATTTTAGGGCACTTGTAAGCAAATACCAGTTCTATATATCTGTGCACCATCTCAATAGGTATGTTTTTTGTTGAAAATGCAAGGTTATGTCTAGTATAAGTCAAAATTATGGTCTGATCCACCCCGATCTGCTTATAGTCTCACCATTATACCGTTTCATGCATAAGAAGTGAAAACAGAATCAGACGAAAGTTCACAAGCTTGTTTTGCATACTACGAGTGTTCATAATATATTCACTTCAGGGCAGATCCATATATGCATCTGTATCATTGATAATTCACATAAGAAGTCTTTTTCTCATTTTTTATATCATTATTTAGATGCACATTGTGCTGCATACTTTTGTAAAAGTTGAATTCAACAATTGTCTCACCATTATTCGCATTTATTAGTCGAATAAACATGAATTAAAGGCTAATTTATTGGCCTAAAATGTAAAATCATGAAATGTAGATATGACTATCATATTTTCGAGGTACAGAAAGCCCTAGGAGTATGGGATTGCAAGGGTATTCTATCCTACGCCCCTAATTGGGGTGCATCCGGCAAATTCTGACCATGGTGAGAGTGGCATTTTCCTGTTTGCGTATCAGTTGAATGACAGTGTTTGCACTCTATTAAGCATTTATATATCACATAAATGTATTCTAATTAAACCAAGCCTAAATAATCCGTGTGCAATGCAGAATTTTACCCAGCTTTCAAAGCCGACAGAGCTGCTACCGCATTGGGAATGATATTTTCCCACAGTTTTATATGTCCAAGTACGCACAGGCGCATCCAGCCAAAATAGGCTGCGCATGGGTCGGGAGGCAATAGTAAATCATTAAATATTATTTTTCTGGGCTGCGATTTTTTTTTTCGGGCCCAAGCAACAAACGCCGATCCAGTGCCCGTGGACCCTAACTCGGCAGCCATACGGCAACAGTTTCTGGACCTAGCTAGGGCTGGCGAGACTGCTACAAGGGATACGTATAATTAGGAATCAAAAAGTGATGGCATCCCTACAAGATACGTATCATTTGACATTACTATAGTTATAGGGATTTTTACAAAAGTCGCTCCACTATAGTTATAGGGAATTTTTGTAGCGAATGGACACTATAGCCTCACGCCCCACCGAGTTTCATCTGAGTGCTGTTTCGGAAATCGTTGAGATCAGTAGGACGGACTATATTGAACACACGGGTAATGAATCGCAGGAAGCTGACTGCAGATATTTTGGAGGTGGGATGTTTCTCCGGGCGAAAAATTCTGAGGCGTAATAATTTGTCTATATCGCCAGGCCATTGCTGTTATCTTTGTATTTTCTCTTCATTTTGTTCCTCCAAAAACATGTATCTTTACAGTGTCTGTATTAAGATCGAAGATATTTAACTATACATCCATGATGATAGACTTTCCAATTTGGTTCCTGCCTTGGGTCTTGTCAAGAACCTCTTTCTCGACTGCTGGTCATTCAACGTCTCGAGAGCCGCTTACCAATGGGAAAGGGATTACTATTCCAATTCTCATCGCTCGGAAAACGCCGATCACTGATGTTGAACCGTCGAGGCGACTGAATTATCTGGTTATTTCCAGGATCGTGATGGGCGCTTACGATATCAGCGTCACTGCATTATCGAACATTCCATAAACGAGATCAAAGGCTTCTTAGCCCTGAATTGACTCTTGGAACGTACTCGATGGTCTCCAACACCTAGATGGTTCGGCTATTCTTGTGGTACAAGGGACGAGTTTGGCCCTTGGATACATTTCTGGCCGCAATACTTCAATGTATCGTCTGATAGATGACCTATGCGATTGGATAATAGATTACAAATGAACAACTTCTGTTAATCAAAACACCATCCTCCGTTGATTCCCAACTAAGCAAGTAGGAGTCAGCAGATTGTGGTTACAATGATTTAATAAAGACGTACTGTTTGGCCTTAGGTACTCATTTATTACGACAAAGGAGATAAATAAACCAATGTACGTACCGGTCATATAACGCGACTCCTTGGACGCGAGGTAAGATACAAGTCCTGTTATATCCTCAGGTTGCCCAATGTAGTCCAGTGCCGAGCGGGCCACATTCTTTCCTCGTTGTCAATCAGGCTATCCACATGCGAATGAAATCATACCGTCGTAATCAGTTCGTTCGTGTCTCCCTGTTGGAGTACAGCATCTCTGCCTAGAACAAGATGAGTCGCCAAGGGGCTACTGGGAACTCGTGTAATACGTACACATTTCGGTATCTACCGCGCCTGCACATTGAAATCAATGAGTGATCAGCGCGTCGGAAATCTCAAGAACTATTAATTGGCACCTGGCGCATACGCATTGACGGTGATTCCATACTTGCCGAGATCAAGTGCTATCTCCGAGAAGCCATCAAAAAAGAGGTAGAAGACAATAATGGGCGCATACCGGCTCCCTGCGTTAGTCCCCGAATGGCCGACTTAGTCGCACCATACAGCGACATCATCGGTAAACCTGAAATCATCCAACATGATGTTCTGAATGAAGTTTTACGACCGACCTTGCTTTCCAGCAGAAGACGAGCATCCAATGATCCGTCCTCCCCGTCCTTGTTTCACCATCTGCTTCGCCGCATATTGATAACAGAGAAAGCAGCCTCGTGCATTAACGGCGAAGCTTTGATCCCACTGTTCTACCGTGTCTGCGTGAAGGGGTATGCATGACGGTGAAACTGGGTAGAGGGGGGTTGTACGCACAATCTAGTATATTAGCATTACGACAGATAGCAGCATTCGCAACCATCTATATGGCAAAGATGGCCGTCAGTAGACATAGTAGGAAATGAATATAAAATAACATACCACATCCAGTCCACCCAGCGCATTCACGGTACCTTCCACCATACCTTTGACGTCGCTGTCACTTGATACATCTCCAGGGAAGATAGCTGATCTGCGACCTTTCCTGATAATCTCCTCCTCGACCTCTTTTAACTTTGCAATCTTGTCAGGGAGTGGGAGATCATTCACGGCAACATCGAAACCGTCATCTGCTAATCGAAGAGCGATTGCTTTCCCGATACCTTGAGCAGCACCAGTAACGACTGCGACGCTCTTTGCTGATGACATGAAGGAGAGAAAAGAGGGATAACGGACTGAAGTTGAAGGAAGATCGCATGATGCCGGCCTGATTATAAGGTGTCGGAGTTTGAGAATCTGGGGACCCAAAGTCCACGAATGGCTTGAAGTTGCTTCTCGGGCCAAGTCTGGGCTAACATTAGTCTTCAAAACCCTTTTAGCTAATAGCGATGTCGATATCACTGAAATATCAAATTGTGAGAATGAATTCCAATCTTTCGATCTAACCTACGGAAGTAACCAAAACCAGGATGCACGCCCGAACCTTTCGAAATGACAATCTGTGAGCAGAGCCTTTTGGCATCGCCTCTATGCAATGAACTTGTCCTCATCGACTTTAGCTACTTCGGATTTTTTAATTCAGAATACGTCCGCAAAACATCGGGAGCAAAATCAGTTGGTCAACCGCCCGGATGCCGCCCGAGTATGTGATTCAGATAGCTTCAAGTCCCTGCGAACAGCGTAATTTAAATGACATCGAGAAGAAGCATCCCTATGTGAGACTGAGTTGATTGGAGCACCACGTCGTAGAGCAAAAAAGAAAAGGCGAAGTTCCGTTGCAGCTAGTGAACGGGCGCTTTGTTCTGCTCAACCGATGATCTCACGACGACCATCAAACCACAACGGCGTACTGGGCCATCTTTAAACTCCGGCTGTCACAGAGAGTTGCCGTCGTACCACATGCTCGCCGAGTAAGAAAGCGCCTCCATGAATGCCCTAAGATAAGAAATAAGGTTGACAAGAAAGGCGTTGGACTGGAGCCTACTGGAGCACAAAGATAATGGCTCGCCCGACTGGCTATACCCTTCGGTGATAGAAACCGTCGATACTACCTGATAAAGAATGGATGCACTTAACCACAGAAGACGCCATGAGAACGGTAGTACTTGCGGTGAGAATGGGCCTCAAGAACGTAAAAAGACAGCAATACAGTAACAGGGGACATGTGATCTTTGGTGATCCTTGTATCGAACCAGAAGGGCCATAAAAAAGGAATACTTCATTATTAGAAACTGCACTCATGAAAAATGATATTCGTGTGAAACGACGACATATGAAAAACCAGAAAATGTGTCGGTTAAGGTGTAAGGGTACGGGTACAACAGGTATGAAATTCGTCGATGATACGGTGATCTCCGACTTGGGCCGCATCCCGACCATGTCATCTTCTCTCGCCGTCTTCTCAGCGTGCTACTCTCCTGCTTATTGTTGCCTTCTGTGTTAAGCCGACGATTCTACTGCAGGTCCTATGTCCAAAGAAAGCATCCCTCTTGATTCTTCAGCAAGGATACAATGATGCCATCAGGGATCGATGCATAAACAATGGAAGATCCCGATCGTGGGACGGTTTACTTATACTGTTGGGATTTGGCAATCCGGCATCATGCCGAGTTCGCTTATTAAGGAAGAAGGAAGAGGAAAAGTGTGGAAAGTTCTAGTAAAAGTACATTTAGTATAAAAGTAGGTACTTTAGAGTAGATCCTCATGCGTTTGCAGAGCTCAGCCAAGCGCAATACTATTGGCTTGCTACCGCACACATGACACTGGGAATGAGCTGTTACCCCGTTTTCCGACATATACTTTAATCTGTGATTTTTGGCTTAATTCTAACATGGGGGTATGGTAGAATTACGTGGAAAGGATGGCAAAGATGGTGCATTGGCCCGATCGTCCGATCCATGTCTGCGGTAACTGTCATAATATAGTATGATGTGAGTCTGAATAGTTGGTGGCTTCAGATCTCCTCAAACACCTCAAACGCCACTGGAACGGATCAATTAGTAGCCCTCCTCTTCATCAAGAAATGGAAATCTTGTGTGGAATCTGCCTTCATCATTTCCGTGTTTGTTCCTCAATGTTAGACAGTGGAATTCAAATCTTCTGGACCCAAGGAGGATTGAGGGTGGGAGATCGATTGTTCCGAGCTGTCTTTCTCACAAGGAAAACAATGGTTATTGCTATCCGTGGGTTCGAATGATATTCTCTTGTCAGAATCCTAATGCCGCCTCATCGCACTAAAACTAAAATCATATTTGGTGAACAGGAAAACATGCATATCATTAGTGGAGGACTTCAACCTGACAACAATCCACGACGTTCCGAATCGATAACATCGACCACCGTCATCCAACTATGTCATTGACAGTATCCCTAAACACGTTTGATACCTCTGCCTCCATGTTTGAAGGCCACCGCTCACTGCATCCCAGTTCCGTCGCCTATTTCACGTATTCCTATGTAACTACTAAAAGCAATCTTCTCTCACAACATAGGAGCAATTCACTATCTTGGAACACGAAAACGTACGTCTTCCTCCTTTCGGATGTTTGCCGGCTATGGCGCGCTGTCTTCTAAGACCATCCAAGCCCCTCTGGTAGCCTTTTCATGTCGATCACAGGTTGTCAAAGGATCCAGGGCTTAGCCCTTCTATTGGACCTGTCATCAAATGGACAGCTGAATGATATCTGCTGTTCACATTCACCAGGAACAGGGTCGACGCGGATGAACAGGGCCTTGGTCACCTCATGAAAGTTTTTCTTCGCTGACTGTTAGGTACTATCTTCATATGTCGCAGTTTTCAATATCTATGGCATCCCCAAAATTTGTTGCACGGATCCTCGCTCCGCGCATTGACACAGGATAGTTGGATATTTTGGAGGACTTATACTTTACGTTTAGGCGCCGAAACTCCAGAGGGCGACAGTTAACACAACGTACAACCCTGAATGCAGTTTCGCCTCGCTCGTGGCTATTGGTGATGTGGCACGCGATATGTCCAGGACGTTCGTCAGCCGTTCTATATATCGTCCATTTACATAATCGCTGAAAACCAACGCAATGGAATCCCAGACATTTACATCAAGGAAGCGACAGATTAAGGACTTCTAGACTCCGTTCAGCCAAGGATGCGGCAATAACTGAGCAGCGGTTGGACGCATCCTGGGATCCCAAATTAGACATGCTCGCAGGAACTGGCCCAAGCCACGCAAATCCAAATGTTTGGCACCCGAGACCCCCTCGACCGTCGTTTCAATGCTATCCTCATCTCAATCTTTGACTTTCAGGAGTTCCCCTGGGAAAATGTCAGGCATCGTCAAGAATGTAATGAGCTTGAAACGCACATCACGATTGAAGTGATTGTATCCCCAAGGGCATTCACTCAGAAAAGTGGATGGGATTTTACCAATGAGCTCCGTGATCTTTTGAATATGCGTGGCCTGATCGAAATCATCCTGCATAAAGACGTGATAGTCCGCGACCAGCTCAAACGCCTGTTTAACAGTGAAATTTTAATTATCAATGCATGAACGTGAATGCACCATGCGCCCCACTGCCCATACATCGGATGGTGTCGACCACGGGAACCCAACGATAGACTCGGGTGGGCGGAAGACGGCGGGCTGCCAGGGCGCCGTGAGCCGCTTTCCTACAGGTTTGGCTAGGCGAGGGGTAAGAATTCATGAAACGGTGGGAATAAGGATGAAAAAATGCCTTCGCCGAAGTCAATAAGCTTGATGTTCAGATTACTCAAATCAGGAAGCAGGCCCATGTCCGGGAGCGGCTGCGATTTGACACAAATTATGGGCTCAGGAACGAGCTGGGGAAGACTGAGAGATTCATAGGTTTCGGTGGGATGGGTTTTGATACATGTCTGTATATCCTTAACGAGGGATTCTCTGTTGTGGCTTCGAGGCAGGACCGCCATAACATTGTTCGTTTTGATGTCTGGAAAAGATATTCGTAACCAATCACAAACGAGAATTAGCAAGAAACGCACCATTATGGACATAGCTACAGTCATGGAGAAGCTGGAGTGCCGCAAGTGTCTGCCTAATTATGCGCTTTGTCACCGGAAGAGAGAAAACCTTATTTGGTTATCTGATTCTGAGACCGAGTACAGAGGATCCTAGGACTTCAGTCGAAAAAGAGGTGTGGAGCCTGATTCGGCTTTGCGTGTTGAATATTTGGTGGAGATGCAGCACATAGGGATATCCGGGATGATGACAAGAATTCTGAAGCGCTTGGAGGATTTTCGACTCATGAGAGGTTTGGCGAGAGATATTATTTGTAGCAGGACCTTGGCAGCAACAAAACGCGTCAAAGATTTATGGTTTTCCCTATAGTGATCGTATCCAGTGGGAGCCGATGATTCTTAGGCAACGACGTACTCACAAAGCTACACAGCAGTTGGCAGATGCGGAAGATCGCACCTTGCACACGACTCGGGAATTCGGCGACAGAGAACATTGTAAGAATTGGCCAAGAGCCACAGGATGATAACCAAATCCAAAGAGTGATTCTACAGAAAGTCGTTCCTCAGAGAATATGGAAAGCTGTTTGAACGAGAACATTGGATTAATTACCGAGAAGTAATCCTTTAAGTGAGAACAAACAGGACTTGTATTTACCTGCAAATAAGTTGTTGTGTAGAGTATAGCCCTCCGCCGTATGTATATACGTATGATCTTCCTATCAGCGACTGGTCTTGAGGATGACAGCTCGCTGAGCGCTCGCGGCTCGTGCCGTTGAGAAATCAGCCTAAACCCGGCCCTAAAGAAGGATTTAGGCTCCGAAACATGCCGCATAGAGCCGGGAATGGCGCATCGAACCAAAAGACTTGCGGAGATCTAATATTCTCCTCGCTCTAGGAAAAGACCTACTTGTCCTCGCCAACGTTGAATGCTAGTACCGGTGATTAGAGCCGATCATTTCTTCCTCCGTTGTGTCACCGTGTAACGTGTAACCCATGTCCAACCCTAGGGTTAAAAAGTGAAACCCGGAAAGCGCTTGAGTCTGGAACACGCCCCTTTCGCAGTATCCTCCTGATTCTGTACCACTACCACCACCCTATCCCGACATAACTGCATCTCGCACCAGAATGTCAACGTCTCTAGAACCAGAGCACCCTATCGTCACCTACCTCTGTATCCAGGAACGCCTCGGAAAACTAACAAGACAGCACAGAAGTCTACAGGTGGAGCGCGATACTCCTGTTACAGAAGCTCTAAACAATGTCGTCTCCTATCCATTTATTTCTTTCAATCTGAAACCCTACTTGAGCAAATACTTGTTTATGGGTCCAAACGAGACGTCCTTTGGCAGTCTTGATTCCCCAAACATCGAGGCCATCCACTCCCGGAGTCAGCCTTCCTCTTTCGGAAAGGGCGACCAGACAATTACAGACCCGACGTATCGTGATGGTCGCGAGGTCCGCGGGGAAGATCTCAAGTGGTCCAGCCCTGGCCAATGGACCCACTACAAAGATACGTTTTACCACCTCACTTCAGATCTGCAGAATATCCTCGAAAAAACTCTGTTTGTCCGAAAAACTGTCGAGGTCAAGCTGCACAAGCTGGCGATGTACAACAAGGGTGGGCACTTTGACTGGCACCGTGACTCGACGCACGGGGAGAACCATCATGCTACCGTCCTCGTCGCTTTGAACACGTCTTGGGAGGGCGGCTCGCTTCTCCTACGCCACAATGGACAAGAGATGACGGTCGACATGCACCCCAAGGTCACTTCCATTACAGATCAAGAGACTTCCGAATCCAGCAATACGTCCGGATCTGAAGACGAACCCGACACTGAGATTAGTCTCAGAGCAGCGGCTTTCTACACCGATGTTGAGCATAAAGTCGAGCCAGTAACGGATGGGGTGCGATTGATACTCCAGTACGACGTCTTCGTCTCTCCTGAGAAAAGTGACGAAGACGACGACTTCGACAACTCCTTTTCGAATCTTGACAACGTTAGCGGTAAATCGCGTCTGGGCTATGACGAAAAGCCTTATGACAACGAAATTCAAGTCCCATCTGGCTTCTCAAACGAGACTTCCCTCTCGAACCTTGTCGACGCCATCCAGGAGATTCTCGTTAGCGGGACAGAAGAAGTAGGCATTCCGCTCCGCTACCTCTATCGCCAAGCAAGCATTCGGAAGGAATATCTCAAAGGTGTCGACGCCATCATCTACGCGAAGCTCAGCCAGATATTTAATGTCTCCCTCGTTCCGGTGATCCTCGAGGAGAGTTCTCTGGAAGGTGAATGGACGGGGGAGGAAATGGCGGCCTACAAGGTTTTGGATGATGAGGAGAAAGCTGGGCGCTCCAGCAAGAAGGCAAAAACCTCCACCGAGTTTCATTTGAACAACGTTTCAGATATCTTGGAGATTAGCAGCACTGAATATATCGAGCACACGGGTAATGAGGCGCAGGAGGCTGATTGCAGATACTTTGGAGGAGGGATGTTCCTTCGCGCGAAGAGTCCGCAGGTTTAGGCGTTCCGCGACCTTGTTTACATATTTTTCTGACAGATTCGATTCAAAGACATGATGTATTAGTACTTGAAATGTAGTCTTTCGATTCTCCTCTACCTTACGCTTGTGTAAGTTTTACAGCATACGCGAGAACATCGCGCTCCATGATACAAGATTGCACCCTGCCTCGCCGATAGATGACACTCTGAATTCTTTAAACTCACCAGCGCAAAACCTGAATGCAAGTACCGCGTAAATGAAGGAAATCTCCCATTCAGTCTACTATAATACAAAAATTTAATTCTATGAATCCGTCACGCCAATCCACTACTAGAACCCGACACATACGAAGGCGGAGGCTCGTCCGTATACCCGAGAGCCCACGCCGACCCCTGCTGCTCCGTCAAATACCTAATCTGTCTCTCCAAACTCAAAATCAGCCGCCTCTGGCGCTCATTCTCTTCCATCAATCGGCCTTCAACATTGTTCTGCTGCAAAGTCGCAACCTGCGCTCGTAGTCCCTCTGCTCGGTCACGTAGTAACGCTTGTCGTATTGTCAGCGCTTTACCGGGAGACCTTGATGAGGTTGTTGTGGACTGCACTATTGCCGGTGTCAGTGTAGATGCGGTCGTATATGGGCGTGGTGTGGTGGTGTAGTAATCTCCCTCTCCTGAGGACGGGATGCCGTCTCTGTTCCTTCGATATATCCAAATGCTGACGCCCGCGGTGATCGCAACTAGTCCGAGAGCCCCACATACGCTTCCAGCAATGACAGCGGTATTGTTAGATGCAATAGCCGATGGTGAGGATCTGTTCGACATCAAATACTTGTTTCTGGGATAAAATGAAAAGCACTTGCGATGGTGTTAAAGTGGCGCTTGGGACTGGTACGCTGAAAATAATGATAAGACTCTTGTTCTATTTTGCGGACAAGAATACTTACATGCTTCTTGTGGTAGGAATTCTAAGTGTCGTAGATGGAACAGATGTCGTCGTCGATGTTCTGGAGATCGTTAGGACCCCGATGAAACATAAATCTGATTGCGACCAACGTTTGGGGGTTTGATCTGCAAGAACGAATACATCAGCTCTGGGTTCCGCAGCTTTCAGGGAAAGATCTTCACACTTGTACGGCTTTAGCAGCGGCGAAATTCAGAGTAAGGACATCTCTGGAACGGTATCTGGGTTTCAGGATAACTGCCGAGTCCAAAGTGAGCACTTACTGAGCAGTTGGCGCTGGTGAGTCAGGGGCTTGAACGCTGATTATATCGCTAGTACCGAGGATATCGCTTGACGAGTTCGTCCTGTCGAAAGAGTCAAGGAAGGCAAAACACAAAACGGTCTTCAAAACGAACGTTTGGAGTGCTTGGATTTTCATCGCTTCAGCAATGTACGATCTTTGAGTTGTTAGATCTCATATAAGAATCATACTAGTCTACGCACCCTTCGGTGAAAAACTGCACGAAAAAAGTCCCCTTAGTCTCCTCGATACCTCCAAATTGACACCAATATGGGATAGTCGTCGTTGAAGGAAGCACGTCAGGTCGTCTCAATCGGAAGGCAAAACCAACTGTGGTGCTATCGTCTGCGTCCCTCGTCCATGTCACGCTGGCAGAGGCGTTAGCCACTGCGGTGCCATTGAACTGAAATTGCCATGATGCTGCATGAGGTACGAAAAGGATGCTTCAGGTGCTTGATTCAGAGATGATTAGAAGAATGAGAAATGGAGCTCACAAGAGTAATAGAACGGCCAGCATTGATAGTAAAGAGAGGAAGTCTAGGGTACAGCAACGCTGCCCACAACGCCGATAGATATCAATCGTGATGAGCGACGATCATTTCGCAACTTTTGCCCAAACTTACGCTGAAGAGGCGGGGATCAGATACAGATTGATATGAGGAATTGAAACGGCGTACAGAAAGAAGATATCCATCTTTAGACAACACATATCTGCACTGCCATGAAAAACTGTGCAAGCGTATCCCTCTAACGTTTCTTCATCTATAACCGAGTTTCTTCCCCAGAATCGCCTAGCAGACCCTTAAGTGCCTGAGGCTGTTTCTTCGTTAGCGTTGAGGCTGTGCTACGTGGGCCGCTCCTGTCATCGGAGAGACAGATCCCGGGAGATACGACCGAAATTTTGGTGGATATATAATTTCAGGATCGAAGGAGATGGTTACCAAGACCGGTGACACCTTCGTTGATAAGTCTTTTGGACGATCATCAGCCCAAAGGATATTCGACGTCACTCCGGCCGGTAGACAAGTATTTCAGACTAAGTCTAGTGAAGTCGAAGACGAGTATTAAGGACGTGCTAAGGGAAGCAAGAGAAGTTGCGCTCAGGCTTGTGGCGGATCACGAATTCGCGGGAACAGCCGCTGCGGCGCCAGAATCTTTACCGGCGGCCCTTTCGGTCTTTGCTCCGACTCTCAAGACTTTGCTCGCTCAAGATCATTATGACCGAATGAATTTCTAACGTTTTTTTTTTTTTGGGAAGTGTAAGTCTGCAGGTGACTGTGCTGAGCTCATATAAAAGGCAATAGCTGCTATATGCCCCATGGCTGAGTTGGTTACAGCGTCCGACTGTTATTGCAGCAACATCGGAAGGTCGAGAGTTCGAGCCTCTCTGGGGCAGTGTACCGGACAAGCAGGCATTGCTGAGTATTTTGTTTCTTATCCCCTCTGGTGTTACAGCGCTTCCGGAAAACCTTGAGAATCGATCGCGTTTATTTTTTTTGTGTTACTCAATTAAGAAAGACCCTTTCTTGCCTTCTTTCCACAACGAGTCCGCTTTTCTCTGTTCCTTTATGCTCATATTATGCCCTCTGCATGTGAAGAGATAGACCAGGACATCCGAGAAATATCTCAGGACCCAAAATGTGAGTTGCTGGTCCATAATCAAGGCTTAAATGACAAGAATGTCCATCAGGTTCCAAATGGTTTGCTTATGCACCAAAAAGAGAGAAATCCCAAAGTGGCAAGAAGGTTGGGTCCAGCACGACTACTGCACCAAGTGCCGTATTCAAGAAAAATGTTGTTCCACCTATACAGGCTGGCTTGGGAAACAGCAAGGCTCTTGACAATGAGCTCCTTTGCCCAACCAAGTTTCCAAAGATGCAGAGCACACTCTTTGAGGTCGGAACTGATGTATCGGTAGGGCATGGGCAAGATATAATACAGAAAGCAGCTGTAATCGTGGTGGGAGCTACGAAGTGTATATTTCCTATTTGATTAATGCATTAAAAAAAATGCGATCGATTCTCAAGGTTTTCCAGAAGCGCCGTAAATAGTGTAAGTCGCATTTGGATTTTACACTGTACAGCTTATCCGGCAAGAGCCGGCCACGGTCGCCTGAGAGCAATGAATATCATGTTCTTTACACCTCTGAGACTCAGCATAAGCAGCCATGCCGGATCCCTCAATCGATGGTGAAAAGTCGGTCCTTAGCATTGCGATTGCATCAGTCCTTAGTCTCTCGTAGACAGACGGACGATACATACCTATTGAGGGTGGGCGGACGGTATGTATGAGTCTGTTGTTTATCTGGGGGGTCTTGTTATCACCGTCGGTCTGGTTACGTAATTGAATCACGTGCACTACCAACACTTTAATTTACAACCTCGTTCTGGCGTGTTTCTTGCGTGTTTCTACATCCCCCCGTGCAGAACCTGCGCGTTTTTGCACACAAATGGAATTTTATGGTCCTATCTTCGCCGTTGAGAATACGAGTAATGGGTTGCTCTTGAAATGGCCGAAGACCATCCTTCCAGCTCAGTATTCGCTTTGCGACAACATCCCTGACAGTTTAAATACTTTCAGGGTCATTTCATGAGAGATTTCTGATCATAACGATATCAGATAATGATAGGAGCAAAGGAAAACGCGCCGAAACACGAACGGACACGGTGGTACTGGTTCAAGGAGTGATGGGAAAGTCCTTCTACATATGGAAGCTGACGTAACGGATTCGACGGTGATAACAAGGGGGGCGCGATTAAAACAAGACTAATCAGTCCTGTTCCTAGACAGGGACAAGAAGGTCAGCAAATAGCTTTCAACTCATAAAATACAGAGCAACTCATTTATGTGACATCGTATCGTGTGAGTCCGTACATATTGCAAACTTGTTGCAAACGCGAAGGAGGTGAGGACGCGTCTGTGGCGTGAGAACTACTATTGAGCTCGTGATGACAACCTTTCCATTTTAGTAAAGACCTTCTGTTTCCGACCACCATGACGTTCTTGAAAATATTGAAGGCTGCTCATTTCTCAGCCTCAAGAGAGACTTCCGTATTCATTTCCTCATTATTTACAACCTCAGAATGCGTAGGTAAAGCATATCATGAAATGGCGTCAGATAGTAATGATCTATCACACAGCCCGACCCGCTATCCAGAAATACTTTTCAGATGTCTTAGCGAGAATGGCTTGCTACTGGCCTTGTCTCATGAAATACGCATCATCTAGTCGAATGCGAATGATGGAACCAGAATACCTCTTCGTAGGTTCCCCCCTTTCGCTGTTCGTGCTTTTCATTAACCTTTTCCTCCCATCCCAGAAACCCTACCTCCATCTGAACGGGATATGTGAAAGCTAATCGCCACCTGCGTGGACATCCATCGGATCTGTGAAGGCTGTACCGCGGGTACGCTCTGTACTTCTTCCCTCAAAAGAAGACATCAATAATATATCCATGTCTATAGGCCTAGTACGTATCTCTGTCGTACAGATCCTTCTGAGACTTCCTACCCAAAAAACAGATGACGATTCCCTCATTTCTCGAGCAAGTACTGTGGACTACGTTTTGTACTCCGAAAATAACCAGGTATACGCTCGTCTGCCTCTTCAAACATTCTCTTTGACGGAAGAGCCCAGCTTCATCGCTCAGAACATCAAAAAAGAACAAGGTTGAGGGATGATGTGGTCCCACGGAATATATTCGTCTCGAGAAGGACTCAGGGCTAACCAATTCTAGATTCATGATCACGAATTCCGTTCCTTTGATCAACTCGCATCAGCCCGGTCTCGTTCGCCCTCCCTCTTGCATCTCGTGACTGCTGCGCCCCCCATGGACTTCTAGAGCAATGAAGCCACCATCCGACATCATACCCCCTTGTTAACCTCCAGACGTAGCGCAACCCCGTTGTTGAAGCTGTCTAAACCGATTCGTCCTCTGTCCAAGCGAAAGTTGCCCGGCGGTTCCTGACGTCGAGCGCCGCCGCACTTTGAACGACGTTTTAGAAAGATCAGCTGCCCCCCTTATTCTTGTCCATTACATCGTCTTGAGAAGGACAACATTCGGCCGTGGGTCGCATATCAGGCCTGCCGATATGCCCTGCACACGCTGAGCGGCGATGAAAACATCAGCTTGATAGATATCGCGACGGCACGAAAATTTTCTCGGCGACCTGGTCAGCTGGGAGGAAGCAAAGGTACTCTTATTCTTTCCCAGCCTTGCCTTCGGTGACGGATTTGCAGACTGTTACGTCCAGAAGACCTAGCAGGGAACTTCGATGCTTTCCTGGAGCCTTCACCGATGATTCTCCTTTGAGCTTTACTCGTGAAGGCGCTATTTTTACTCGTAGGATGATATTCCCACCGACGGCGGTTGTGGAGGCGGTGAGCCATGCGGAGAATCCTTGTCCTAGAATTGACGGTATGCGAAAACGATATACTCATTGGTCAAACGAGAGCGAAGCATGGGCCAGAGGAGCGTCCACTGTGCACTGGCTTTTCTCTCATCATGTGCAGTCCTCAAATGCTCCCAGCGCTTCGTATCCTGCTATGACGCTTTCATTATGTTCCGTAACTTCGGCTGTCGCTTAAAACTTCATTTTCCTGTGACGACACCAGCATTCCAAATTCTAACTTTGTTGAACTCAGGCCCTCCACTTCTTGGGCCTCGGCAAAGTGGCTTTCGTCATCGTTAAACGGCACAGTATCGCTTGGGTTCGAGCGTAATAGTTGCCTTATCATCGGGAATCATTCCTACTCCACAAGGGCGTTGACTCTCCGCGCCAAGGCCAGGCCTCAGTGCCGTTTGAAATTGGCGCCCGGAAAGTGACCGACGCGCTCACAGTCATCATCAGCACATGCCCTCCTCAGACTACCCGCTCTTTACCTCACTACCGCCGTCCATACCGATTTGCACAGTCGACAAGAGCCATACTCATAATGCACTGCTGGTTATCAAAATGAACGGTAAACTTGACGGACCATTACCGAGCATCCGTTAATTCACCGACTTTCCGATTTTTTTCACTTCGAGCACATGTGTATGCATGTGGCATGACTGAATGAGAGGGACGAAGTAGCTTGGGACTGCGGTACCGGGTCGTCTTAGCGATGCGCATTTGGAAGTCGAAGCCTTCGAGCGAGGGGGTGGCGGATCGGGTGCCTGGCGTCGAAGCATTATTCCTCGATACTCCTTAACCCCATTTCAGCTCCCTCCGCTTACGGGCTCTTCCTCGAAATGGTTTCTCTCTCGGCCGGTAGTCGAACATCCACCGGAACTCAATTTTTAATAATTGAAAACCGTAACACGAAGCTCGCTTCCCTATACGAGAATGCCTTCTTTCATGGCTCAACAACACGTAACCGGAACCTAACGCGAACGTGTGGGAACAGGAAGAACGGTTTTATCCTTACGGAGTGGTTTTTTTATAGTTTTTCATCCTTCATGCAGTGCCGTGCTCTCGTCCTCTGATGGTCACATTTTCACATTTTAGGCGCGGACCACGATGATCTCATCGGGTCTCCAGCTCAGGGCACGTCTCGAAACACGAGGATTTCTCCTTCGGCCAAGAATTTCAGGCCCTGGACTATGAAATGCATGAACCGAGTTGGTATTTTTATGGTAGCCACTGCGCGGGTCGGAGGAGAATCCTTTAAATTCGAGTGTTCGCTGACGATAGAGCTCATTGAAGCGCACCCATGTTGCTCTCGACCTTCTTTATACTCCCTTCACTCATTTATACCGCCCTTGCTCAGCAGAGCAACGAGAATCCTACCGTTGGCGGTAACCAAGATGACGGCTGGCAGAAATTTCCTGACGTCGTCGATGCCACCGGGTATCCTAAATGGGTTGTCGATGAAGACCTCGGTGCTTACATGGTGCGCCTTTCTCTCTCTCTCTCTCTTCATCCACAGGAAGCTGAATCTCTGCATAGCCTGTATACCAATCTTCGGGTCTGAATGCGACAGAAGTTACGAGGGCAGTCATCGTCCTACACGGCAAGGTGCGCTAGAATCTAATTCGGTCTCCATTTTCTGATCCATTGACGCTGTCAACAGCCCCGGGATTGTTGGTATTGTAAGTCCCGCTCATTACTTCCCGCATTGGCCTGCGGCGCTAACGATTGACCCTTAGATTGGAATGCAATGAACAACGCCCTTTACAATGCCACTTATGATGACCCTACCATTGTGCGCGAGCATATATCAATCATGGGCCCGTGCTTCTTCGACGAAGATGACGTAAACGCGGGTGCGGCTGAAGAGGGTCAGCTGCTTTGGGGAAGGACGACGTGGATCAGTGGGCATTCGAATGTCGGGCCCGACTCTATATCCGGCTACAGCAGCTTCGATGTACTCGACTCCCTCGTTGCGTATTATATGGACAAGAGTGTCTATCCTAATCTAGAGGTGATCATTTTTCTCCATGTTCAACGATTCCTTTCTTACTCTTTGATGAAGGTTGTCGTCGTTGGAGGACACTCAGCTGGTGCCCAGATGGCTCAGCGCTACGCCGCCCTGAGAAGCACAACAGACGACGATGATCGGTTACATTTCTGGATCGGTGAGTTCTATTGATGTTATTCGCGGTGATAGTACCTCATTTCTCACAACGCTTAAGCGAATCCGGGATCTCTCCTCTGGCTAACGTCAGACCGTCCGGTCTCGGTCGAAGATTGCGATGGTGTAGACGACTACAAGTACGGCTTGGAGTCCAACTTCCCTGCATACGCAACTGCGGATGCCCGCAAACTGGGAAGGTCTGGAATCGTTGAGAGGTACAATGGCCGCAACATGAATTACGCCTGGGGACTGGTGAGTGATAAAGATCTTTTTCCCCGACTGGCTGCTTACCTGTCATCCCAGACGGATTACGCCAACGGAGACCACAGATGTCAGGCATCCGTGAGTTCTTCCGAATCATGTCCTGAAAATTTCGACTGACGACGCTATGTCTCGCAGGCTCAAGGAAAGAACCATATCAGGAGAGGAAAGAACTTTGTCAAGATGTTGAAAGCTATGGGCGGTCTCCCTAATCTTACCACCGTCGACTACGCGGAAAACATTGGTCACTCTAACGAGGGAATGATGACAAGTGAGGGCGGGATTGATAAGGTGAGTCCAATTTCCTCTCATGGACGCTCTCGTAACTCAGGGCTGGATAGTTATTCCGATATGTGTCGAACAGCACAACCACCTAACGCGACAACGTAAGGTTCCATTTGGACGGCTATTTTGAATTATTCAGGTTTTTATGGACTCGTATATATCATTTGTCTATTCATTGCTCTCGTCGGTCTATTATAAGCTAGACATCTTTTCATATTCTTGAATGATGACAATTTTAAATCAGATTCAGGTTGCTACGCAGCAGCGTTCGCTCCCGTCGACGAAAAATCTGCTGAGATTTCCCGGATCTGATGCGACGAAATCGCACTGGGTTACCAGATCTAGGCCGCTCGGTACGCCGGCGTTTCATTATTTTCTCCGGCTTTCTATCGAGGTTTCGGTATATTTTGCTACATTTTGTCATCGGATATTGCGACGCCATGTGTATTGGGATCAATGTGTTTATGCTGTTTCCACAGCCTTTGGGCTTCAGGAAACACGTGAAGAGAAGCGGACTCCAAAAGGATGTTGATTGTCGGTCCTTGTTGGCTATGGGACTGGCCGTTGCCAGAGAATATATGCTACCTGCGTCAGACCAGAACATGATGACGGTTCTGAGCCAATCAAGGTTTTTTCACAAGAACAGCTGTTAGAGTGACGGCAGGAGAAAAGAGAATGTGGTTGTATGCCGTGCGTCAATGATACAACAGTGAAAACCTAAGTTCCTCCAGTTTCGACATGGTGATATATTTTTTTATGTGATTAAAAGGAGCCAGGTTCTGGAGCCATAACAATTTCTTGCTTTTGGTATCTACTTTCCCAGAGCTTAAAATGATTGTAGAGGGGTTTATCCATGAGTAAGCTCAGAACTGCGAGTCGGCATATGTTAACTTTCATGATATATTTTATTTTTAATACAAAAGGGCTAAGTCCAAATATCATGGAAGAATAGAAGGCGGTAGGTTGTAATGAAATTTTCGAGGATGGCGGATGGAAAGGTGTCAAATTTCAAATTCACGTCTATAAGCGGATCTCCCCGGCACTTGCCGCCATGTTGGATTGCAACCACCCAAATGCGACTTTGCGACTTTGCTTCATCAGTACGTGCTTTCAAGATAAAATTTTAATGCTTTCAAGTTTAATCATGATAATAGTTACACTTCAACTACAATTCTTCCTCCCAAGTAAGTACCCAACCGTCCGTCGCCTTTTGGGCTTCGGATCAATATAGACCTTCTTTCGTTGCCGGTGGTGCAACGATCCCTTTACCGACGCGATGTCTCAATCAGATATATCTGCCATCACAGAACGAAGAGCAGCTCCCATCGACCGACTTTTCGTTGAAATTCTCACTTACATTTTTCATATGTGTGTTCTTGAACGCGGTTGCCTCTTCCCGCGTCTTGACGTCAATGATCGCAAGATAGGCCCATGGAAGCTTGGGCGTGTATGCTCATTGTGGAGGCAAATCGCCAATAAAACGCCGACTTTGTGGACACGTCTCTCATTTTCCTTTTCCCTCGTTAAGGATCCCGTGTCAAGGTTCAAAGTTGCATTAGAGGGCTCTTCTTGCCTTTCCCTGGACCTGGAGTTATCTCCTGATGATCAGTATCCGATCGATGTGCAGAGAGAGATTTACCAGCTCGCTATTTCTCACTCTTGGCGGTGGGAGCGTTTAACAATTACCCCCAATCACGCAGTTCTTCCCTTCTTATCCGATATCCGTGCGCGTCAGCTTGATAGACTCTCTCACCTTGTAGTCCATTGTCCTGAGTTATGGACACCCCTTCCTATCGACGCGTTCCAGGACGCCCCCGCTCTGCAAACCATTAAGCCCCATCACAACTACGGGGGCGTGCGGTTCGAGCTGCCTTGGAATAACATCGTTGAATTCTATGATTACACGTCTTCGGTGGAATCTGTATCGATGCACCATGTAATCGACATGATTCAGCGATTCCCAAACATAGAGACGTTATATGCGCCAATGATGTGCTCTCCATTCTCCACAGTGGTCAGCATAGCCACTCCGTTCGTTCGAACAAGTTTGCGTGACCTCACAGCGTGTGAGGGTCCCATTCTTCGGAGTCTAGTATTGCCCTAATTAAAGAAAATCTGCCTTGCCCCTGGCGAGGACTCACTGGAGTATTGTCCCGATGACGCGCTTCCAACTCTTCTATGCCTCATTCAGTGCTCGCAATGTTCGCTTACATCGGTCGAGCTCTCCGACGTCATTTTCACTGACGTTCTTTTGGAAATTCTCCATTGTACTCCACACCTCGAAAATCTCAAAATCTACACGGAAGGCTGGGAATCCGATTATAACCGTATATTCAAATCCCTCATTGGTCGATTAGCTCTCTATCCAGTTCCTCAGCGGAGCTTTCTCCCTCTCCTCAGCAATCTTAACAGCACTGTCGCTGACCTGACCACGGAAGAGCCCTGTCGTTTCGTTGATCATGTTTTCTTTGACATGGTTTGTTTGAGATGGAACGTTGGGGTCCTAGCAGCCATCAGGCTGGATGTATCGGAGTCAGGAGAGGACTTGACGTGGGGGTTGACTCAGGAACATATCAACGAGTTTCGCAAGTTCAAAGAAGACGGATTAGATATCAAACTAGGAATTTTGCGTCGCGATGATGCGGCTAGAATCCTATCCTCTATACGAACGAGATATATATAGAAATTGCCTTCTCAGACATTGAATATAGATCGCTGCTACTCCATCCACTATTTTAGGCTTCCTCCTACACCAGCTCGTTCAATTGTCATTCACGACCACCGAAGCCTGCTCACTTTGCCGTGCTGTTGGCACTAGAATATAGGGACTTCGGGTGCGTGTCTCCAACAGCCTTGCTAGACCTGCAAACTTATCGCTGCTTCCTCTTCCAGCGGAAAACGTTGTTATACATGTTTTCTGCCGCTATCCCGACAATTGTAGGACAAACACGAGCCCCCATCCAAGACCTTTTTGTGGAGATCCTCACAGAAATATTCCATCTTTGCGTTTATGGGAGCCAGAGCTGTCATTTCGACGTGTTTGACAACTTGCATGGTCCTTGGGTCCTTCGACAAGTCTCCTCGTCATGGAGATCCGTTGCCAATAATACCCCTTCTTTATGGATGAAATTTACCACATACTCCAATCGTTCTCGGCGTATCGTTACTCGGGAACCGGCATCCATGATTAGCACGGCACTGCAGCGCTCATAAAGCCTTCGTTTGGACCTACAGCTCTCTCCACATGGGCAATATCGCATTGAAGTCACCGAAAGGATTTTCCAGGCCATCATTGCTCATTCACGACGCTGGGGACGACTACAGCTGGAATTGAACCTACTATTCTTCCTATTCTCTCTCAGATCCAGTACATTCCGCTCGACAATCTTACCCATATCAAGATTTATGGCTTTGAACTGGTAAAAGGACACTAAATCGATGTGTTTCAATGTGCTCCCACGTTGCAGACCGTTGACATAGACGGTAGCTTCGAAGGTGCACAGTTCAAATTGCTTTGGGGCAATATTGTCATGTACTTTGATTGTATGACGGGTGGACCCACAGCGGCGATGCACGATCTATTTGAAGTGATTAATCGCTGCACTGTTATTACCAATGCACGGACAGTACATGGCTCCTACCCTTATTCGTCGGCCGAGCCTAGAACCAGCCGTTCTTCGTAACTTGATATCACCACGGCTGGAAGTTATGTGCCTTTCCCCAGAGGGGTGCCCAGACAGTACTTGCCCTAATGATGTGCTTCCTGCTCTGCTGGGCCTCACTGAACGTTCCGAATGTAAGCTCACCTCGTTGACGTTGAATAGTGCTCTTTTCACCGACATCCTATTGGACATCCTCGAACTTAGCCCGGCCATCAATCTCAGTCTATCGATATATTGCTAGCCGTTGTACTATAACTCAATCTTTAAATTGCTCATCGCTCGATTAGCGTCCCATAAGGGCGAGGACTCGCCGGAATTTGATTTCCTTCCTCTCCTCGGTGATATCAGCATGCACGTCCGTGACATCAGAATGGAAGAAAGGCCATGTCGATTTATTGACCATTCTTTCTTTGGCATGGTGTCTTTGAGGTGGAAGAGCATATCCTTGAATGCCGTTCACATGACTATATCGGGGCCAGGGGACGGCCTTAGCTGGAGTTTGACTTCGGAGCACATTCGCCAGCTCCGCGAGTTAGAAAATGATGGTTTGCATATGAAACTTCATGTGCAACGCTGTGTCTCTGGCGTGTATGTTTATACAAAGTTGAACGATTTATTTAATTGACCTAGACGAAACGAGCTGTCACTTGTATCCTTGATAAGGGCGAAGTCGGAGAATGGGCCCTTAGAGCGAACTTGATATTCCGTGGCGCTGTCTTCTTTCTTTCTATCACCTCGTTGCAGGCCATCTATTGGTATGTTGTATTTGAACCTGTGTCCCCTATTCTAGTTTAGATGTGTTAAATTAACACTATCTATGGCCCCCTGAGCTCGAAAAAAAAAACACTTGAAAAGAATGTTCATGCAGAGATACATTAAGCAATGCATATCAAACCATATCCCCTGCTTCGCTTCCCAGTCTTCCGACTCGGAGACTCTTTGGGTACCCATAGGTCTCATCTCATGACGTTCCACCTGCACGAAGACCTCGGTGTTGGTAGTGGTCAATCGAACCACGTCATCCTTCTGCGAGCGAAAAGGTAAGGATATCATCCTCGCGTTAAACAAGTGGAAAGAGGCGTACCTTCCTAGACGTGTCCAAGTTTGTTTTCGATGATACAGAGTACGACCATCCAGAGCGAGCATTTAGGCTGCTCATAAGCGCGTTGGTATAGAGCTTTCCGAGCATGCCAGTGAATATTATGTGGACGCTTGGAGAGGCCTGAAGATCAAGGTTACGAGGTACAAGGCAAAGACGATTACTGCAGCTTACGATGGCAAGAAACTTTATGAGATCCATCATCGCGCAAAGGGACGTGATCAATCCCGTTTGAACAGTAACTGAAGGTGGATGTAATTAACGAGAAGACAAGAATTCTAGCTGAAGGAAAGACATACGCCGGATAATCCTATCCATCAGCTCATCGGACTGCTCGAATCCGGTTTTGTGACCGCGCTGTGGGAACCTTATTAGGAGAACAACCTCTCATCGATATATCGTCGAAGTTACTCACCCTGCAAGGAGAAGAGTTAGCAAGCACCTAGTCGTTGAAGGACAAAATATGACGTACAGATACCATACTAAAGCCCCGGTGATCAAGAAGTCACAAACGCAACTGGATACGAGCCAGATGATCACTGTGACCTTGAATTTTTGAAAATCTGTTACTGCCTCTTGAGCGTTGGCTTCAGCGGCTGTGGCTATACCACCGGCTAGTAAAAGCGTTATAATTAGGCCGAAGAAGATTCGAAGAGGGGCAGAACTCACCAACTGCTAGAGAGCTGTGAAAAATACGCCCAATGTGGACACCCAGGTAGACGTGAGAACCTTAACGCGCCATGCGAAGAAGAGTTGTACTGCGCCAGCCATGATAGCCTAAGATGTCTAGTAAGCACGGCAATGTGAGGGTGAAGAAAGGTGCTAACCGTTAATGCCGAGTCTTCGAGGAGAGGAAGAAATATTATTAGCAGGGACCGCCTGGGGAATCGATGTACACAACTTACTGGCGGCACCAACTGCAAATAATTATAAGTCAGATCATGCAATGCAAAACGAATCGCGACTCACGCCATGTTGAGTGGGTGTAAGATTTCGCGTTTCCTAGGGTACGCGATCAGATACATCCCATAATGTGGCCGCGACGGTGCTTACCAAAGTTTAGTATCAGCGCAATGTACATATCAATCATGTACATAACCGTTCCAGCCACATTGACGAGCAAAAGGACGTAGACCTACTTCTGATGTAAGCCAACGCGCCGCTGAGCACAAGAACACGACTTGCAAATACACGGATCCAGAGATGATCACGGCTGAGAGCCAGGGCCAATATCAGGAAAGGAATCACAAAGGGAAGGGGGAATACATACCGTTGGTACTTGATGAAATACATGTAGTATTGCACGAATATCATGCCCAGCAAGAGTAGATTGAACATCAGGCCCAGTAGCAAAGGTCCCAATCTAAAAAAGCTCTGGTTAGACAAATAAAAGCTGAAGGAGGAAGCCATACGTTGCGGCAGCCGGATTCATGATGGCCAATTGGTTGAAATGGGACTTTTGGTTTCTTGTTTAAATACCGACGCCTTCCAAAGGGACCAGGTTCCATCTGTGCGATATCCTTTGTTATCCAAAACAAGACGCAGAATAATCTCAGACAACCCATCGTCGATGTGAAAAGGAGGAGAATTTCAGCACAGCCTCAGGCCGCCGCAGTCGCATACCGGCGGCAGCCGCGGACCTGAATTTCAAATTGTTCGCTTGCACCCGATAACTTGCGAGATCTAAGCAAAAATAAAAGCTACCAGAAATGACAAAGATTTGAGACTCATGTTGAAGAAGAACGAGTGGATTCTTTTCTTTTCATACTATTTTTCCCTTTTAAATAATACTTTTCCGTGAGATAATTTCATATCCACGGGTTGCTTTCTTTAGATACCTCCACGCTGCGCCAAGCATGCGCCGGTAAATACTCCTATCCTTGATGGCATGATAAATTTCAAGTCCCAGGTCGAGGCTTGACTGTACGAAATTTCTTTCAGACATCTTTTGTTGTCTAATCAAAGGAGACGCGTCCAAGTTATTACCTCTCGCTAAGGTACAGGACCACAGGCGCGTCCCGCTCATATTCTTAAGCGTATCTGACAGTGACACATATTGACAGTCTCTCATGTACTTGAAGTTCTCATACAACAATAGCGCCTTCCTCTCCTAAGTACTCCCCCTTCACCCTTCAGTCTCAATAGGATGACACTTTTGATAACTTCAATCGTCCTGGATCATGGATGCATTAGCATCCGATCCGCTGGTATGGATTCTGATTAGAACTCGGCATCAACCATGCCTGCTTGCTGGAAATTACGTTACACTCCCCGCAGACCCAGGAATTTATTAATATCACCTACGCTTAATGCTATTTTCCGAGATGACTATCTTGGTTCTCGAGAACAGTATGGAACTCACGGTGCGGTACTTAAAGCTATCGAAACTTCAATTCCTCTTGCCAAGGTCATGCGTCGAACGCTATTGCTTCTTCGAACCAAATTTACAGACACGGATCGACTAGACATAATGAAATCGAAGCCATTACCTTAGCTCATCTCCGTCAACCGACATCTTTCACGTATTCTAAACCCCAGTTTTGTCCGTTCCGTTCCCATCCACGTGTAGTTGGTACAAAGTCGACCCGGTCTATACGGACTTGCCTCAGCGGAAGCTTTAAACATGTCACGAATGACAAGGATCACCTTATGAACTCATGTCTCCAGCGTGCGTCCCATTGAAGTGGTACGAACATCATCACTGGTGTGACTTGTTACGAAAGATCAGCATTGAGGTTCCTAGCTTCTGCGTCCACATTGAAGATAACGGTAGCTCTCGATAAATAGTATTACACCTTGTTACATATCCCATAAGGTAGCCATCGAAAAATGAAAGTTAGAACATAGTATACAGACTATCGAGATAATCAAACGCTGCAGTCGTCTGCTTTGACGCGAGGTAAGGTATGAAGCTCCAACGAATGCGTCGATTTATTATTCTGCTTCTGAAGAATGGGAACCATGAGGAATGAAGCATCTTTAGAAAAGGGAGGGATAGATACTTACAATCTCTGAAGAAGCATCGTCTGTAATGTGGGGCTGGTAATCGACCTGGATTGCCATATCACCCGGCTTAATGGGGGAAGTCAGCTTGAAGAGCTCCCCTTGAACGGCTAACACTCACTCTAGCTACCTGTAGCCTTGTTCCAGCAGAAAACGACTCGGAAGTCAACCTGTGTACGCCGCTAAGAGATCTGAACCGCTTCCGAGAGTTCAGGGTCGCCTGTATCGACGGTTAGTCATACTCAGTCCCTGAATTGAAATAAGAGAATCATACAAGGACGGAAACGCTATACACTATGCAAGGATGTTAGACGGAGCATATCTCTAGAAACAAACTCGACGTACTTCGACACAGAACTGCGTACAAACCGACAAATATCAAATTGTCACTCCAGACAGTCTGTTTGAAACCCGTCAGTTGCAAAGTCTAGTAGCTAGATAAAGACTCACCGCAGTGACAAAGCAAAGAATAGCAAAAATGCTAGATACTCATCATTGATGCCATGTTACAGCCGAATATTCTACGTTACTCACCTATTAAGAAAACCTGTATTCAAAGAGTAAAGGACTAGTCTATTGATAATGTGGTTTGTTCTGCGAACATCGTTCATTTGAATAGCATCATGATTGACGGAAGACGGTACATACTGAGCATTTTGTGTCTTGCTCCTCAAGAGCATATAAATCAAGGAGCCGGTTATCAGCTTTGGATGAATTAGAACAACGCTCTGATAGCAGAGCCAACTACGCACGATATCGGCGCTGTATCCAAAAACCAATAGCTTGGCAATATTCTTTAGTTCTCCAAGTTGGGTAGTTGATGTAAGGGATTGGCTACAAGTTAATCGGCGTCAACATAGGAAGGCCCATGGCATTTTTGAACATACCATCGCGCGTAATAGTCTACGAAGGAACTCTTAGCCAAATATCGGGTACGATCGGGTCAGCTACTCACATAGCGTAACTACAAAATTGCCGATGACCAAGCTTGCCTGAGCGATGTTAGCTATGGGGTTTCGATAGACCAGTGAGGGACGTACGATGAAGGGGGCAAGAAAGCGGTTTCTCTGGCTTACTAGAATACGGATGAGATAAAGATGCTAAGGAAACAGGTGGTAAACAAGGCTCACCGACGTATACTCTCCATGTGAAGAAGCTAATGCGAATGGTCAGCTGAACTGTTTTTGTTCCTGTTGTTGACGGCCACGAGTACGAACCCTTGACAGACTAGCCCTTGACACGCCTGCAGGGAAGCATTCAGCATAAGGAAAAGCGAGAAAGAGAAGTGATCCGAACCGTTATAACCAGTTGTATTAAGAAGGTCCTGGAGATTTGTGCAGATGAAGCCAGTAAACCAGTACACACAGAAGACCGACGTACCATAGCAGCTTAGTCAATATCAACGGATTGGCGAATCCTTTGATCAAGTAGATGTACAGAGCGTGGGTGATAAAAATTTGATGCGAGGTGTCGAGGAGACTAGTATGCAAGGTGAGGATTGGGTCAATAAGAAGCAGCGATGACTACTTACGACACAATTGCGACAACACATTTCATACCGATATGGTCATTCGGATAGTCCTGTCACAGCAGTCGGTATTCAATATGCCCTTGAAATGATAGAGGGATGGCGCACCGAGTAATACTCGTAAGTATGCAATACTGAGCTCCCCCATATGCTGCGTCATCGGATAAGCAACGCCTACTCATACTTCCCAGTGACTGTATCGCCCACCTTGCTGCGATTCTGTGCATGTAATTAGGCCTTGTGAATGCAGGGGAATGCGAAAAAGGAAACTTACATTGTCCCGATGAGAAGGGCTCCCATCTGGAGCAAAATAATCAGCCGAAGAATCAGGAAGCGAAATAGAGGGCTTGCCGTATTGTCAAGAGCTGGAAGGGCCATCGTAGTACTCATGCTGGAGGAGTTGATTCATCCACCCCACCAAGGAAGTGCTATTATATATAGCGGATACCCGCTCCAAGACAGAGTCCGAAGCAAAGAACGAGGTTTAATTGTACCTTGTTCATTTTTTTGATGTGGTTCGCTGTGATGTCATTTGTTCACATCTATGCGGTCTGGAAGTTTCCGGCAATCCGCACAATCGTCGCAGACGGCTTCCACCTTCAGGGTTCTATGATGTGGGCCAGAGTTTCAACAAGGTCTCAAGCAAAGGGATGGATGGAAGTGTTTACCAAGTCGACGCGTTTGACGGTGATGAAATCGAGAAGTGGGAAGAAAGGCTCGAAGGAAGAAGTTTCTTGCGAAGAAATCGCGGGGGAAAAGTCATGTGGGAATGTCGAAGGTGGGTGTTGTCGTCTGATCATGATCGAAGTCCCGGCATCCGGCCTGCGTGACGCATAAAGTGTTCTCGACCGAACGCAAAATTCCGAACACATACAGAAAGAATTCCGAATATACACAATCTTCCATGCGGTATCTGCGAATCAACGACAGAACTAGGTGATTTTTAGGATAGGGTTACTGATGGGGAAGATTTGCGGGTCTGCCATCTTATGCATCCTGTGAATAGGAACATCATACATGGACATTGAGATACAAAATTTGAAAAAAAGCGATCAACATTGCTTTGCACAGAACATCTGCATCTCGTTGCTATGTTGAGCAAAGGTGGTTTTTCGTCCTGCTGTCCATAAAAGATCAGTGATGCTTCTGCCGATAGGAAAGAATCCATACCGTTAACACCAATATCAGTGGCTTCGTCAACGGTCAGACCAAGGATTCGCCGGCCATTGCGATTCTTGCTGAAGCGATGAGCTAAGGTCAGTCAGAAATATTTTCCCTCGGTATGCAAGATGCGAAAGTTTAGGTAGCCAATACCGGTGTCTTTGTCTGCAAGTGGACCAGCATGTGAGAAAGTCGCCGAGTAGGTCTCCCCATTTAAATCAAAATTTGGGGCTAGCACTGCGATGAATTCGTGCCTGGACAGCTAATAAGGGAGAACCAAAGATAACGTAAAAATCAATTCCCACCCAAAAACGGGAACACCCTCATCACGCTGATATCGATGGTGGATCCATTTCTTTCGCAGACATGGCGCAGCTACTACGCACCAATCACCTTTGGCTTATAGACACAGAAGACTTACGAGGTTCCAAGTGCCACTTCGCATGACCGATTGAAAATTGAATGACTCCAAGCTCCGATCAGCGTGTTTAACTTTAAAAAGAACGTAAGCATCCTTAGCACCACAGCAGACTTAAAATCCTCGGTTCTGCATGCGCTCCGATATTTTCCTGTCTTTTCGATAAAGGTTGAGAAAAAGGAAACCTGGAACCCGCAAATTGTCGTCGAAGTTGATTGGAGGGAACTTCCGTCGAATGCTCCAAAGACTTGGCGTCATATTCTACGCAAACGGAGTGTTATGAAAGAAACAACAGAAGTGTACGAAGTAAGACGTACCGGCAGAAATCGAAATGCATTCATCGTGATACTTCAGCGCTTCCAGGCCTCTGTGGTCGAAGCGGTTGCAAGTAAAAGCTAATTGGTTTCCTTGGTGGCCACCACATATGGCATCGAACTTTAACGTCCGGGACCGGGCGGTCGTGATAGAGAATCCGAATATCTTTTTTTCAACTAATGGCTAAGTCGGTCTCCTCATGACGTCCTAAACGGGATCATCGAAAGGCGACGAGACTAGAACCAATCCATAGCCACTAAGGGCTTTGCCAACTGTAGACGCACATTGAATTGTCGGGACTCGGAAATCCAGGGATGCTGGACATTTTCGACAAAATATCTGCGAGAGACGGTGATTGCGGCTGCAGCGTAGGGGAGGTGAGTAATGACGGCAATTCATGGAGGACAGCACGTCAGGACTAACTTATATATGTCAACCACCGCAGAATAAAATATGCCGCCGAGCTTTTCGGTCTGTCGTGACACGAACAGAAGGCAGCAGGTTATGGCATTGCTCCAGAGAGCTACGATGAATGAGATGTAGTTTACGACCACCTAAAGATATCGTTCAGGAACTGCTGAACGCCGGAGACGTCGAAGGGACTCACTTTTAACAATTGTCATGGCAACCTCAAAAAAATGACTCTAGCACGGCTGAACCTATCCCTAAGGACTCGACGTATATTTTACCTGAGTGATATCTGCGAGCTAGATCAAATCCAAGGACAAAAAATTCTGTCCGGTTGTAAGCAAGACTCTAGAAAGGCTACAATTGATACGAACCTGCAGACGAAAGATTATTCTTCTGGGGATTTCGAACCACCGACAAACTAAATCTTCTCCCGCTGTCCATCATGGTTCACATTGTCGGAAGAACTGTTTTTCAGAGCCAATTACCAACATCGGTGACTACCAGCCAAGCGTGCGGGGGTTGAAAAGATCCCAGTCAAAAATATCTGTTGAATGGTAAGACCGAGGTGAAGGCCCTCGTATTCATTTCAGAATCGCAGACGCCGGTACTTGGAAGGGTCCAAAAGATGGCATTCTTTCTATTCCTGCAAGACTCTGGATAACGATATCCAGTCTTCCATCTCCACATCAATACGATATCATCGGCAAGGAAAAGTCCTGCTCAAAGGACCAGCACGCTTCACAACCGATGGAGCAAGCCAATCCCTTGGTAAAACACACTCTGGCAAGAACCCGCGAGTTTACTAACATCTTCAAGTTCTCTCGCACATGGGCATGGCGCTCCGTTACTGAAACTACTTGGAAAACGAACACAGCACCTAAGAAAGGCAACGGGGATCAGGGAGACAATGAGAGTCCGATGGGGGCTGGTCAGGTCGATCAAGCGCTCTGGCAAGATGTCTTCCGCTCTACTCCGGGCCGAGATCTGCCGCGAAATCGTCTCTTCAGATTCTCATCTCGTAGTATACAGCAAACGATGGATATGGATCCAGAGAACTTTCAAGTATGAAGAAGTTCCTGAATACGTGCGTGAAACAAGGGCGGGGGTAAGGATAAGGGACAAGAGTCATTTTTGACATGTGAACGGCCGAAAAGCGCCTCCATGTGCTTCGCTTCATTGTTGTAGAAGCAACGGATTGCCCCTGGCACAGTGTTTTCCTACATGGCTTGCGTCTGAATATCGAGCGTACTTCCATCTAGCGCTTAGCTTGAATAATCTATCTGGCAGTGTAGTGGAACGATATCAGTTCTGGTCAAGATTATTCGGATTCGGTACGTACCTCTGCAAGAGAAGACTTGCCACCACTCAGTCCGAGAGTGTACAGACCTCACCCTTCGACTTCGATACGAGCTCCTTCCGGGAATCTTATCACGATTTGGGTTAACCGGGGGTACGCGTCTCGTAGGTGGCGAAGTGGCAAATCACAATTCCTGTACTGAGCTACCTCAGACTCCTACATAGAACAGGATCAGAAGTCAATTATCCATCAGAGAAGGCTAATACTTACGAGACATACGAAGATATGAAGCAACACCAACGGCGACAATATTGATCTTCCATTCCTCAGACAAGTCGCGGTGGCGTTTATTGAGCGTCTAGCCATCTATCCACGGTAAATTTTCGGATTCGGAGCGCCTCCGAACCATTGCAGGAATCAGAAAATTGTAGATGTCCACATCTCAAGACTGTGCCTGCATGCATTGCAGATGTCTGCCACTGGTGAGCGCAGCACCACCACATATCCCCGTCAGTGTTCAGACACCGAGTTCCTCGTGATCTTGTACCTGTATGGAGAAAGAAACCCCCACATCCAAATCTTCGGAAATTGGGTCAGTGTGTGTTACAATTCAAAACCGTGAAAACTCTTACGGTATTCAGATCTCATTCAGGAATCGTCCAGACTGTCTCGGACAAAAGATGCAGTGTGAATCAATATCGCCGTTGGTAGGAAGATATTGATTGTACATGTGCATGCCACGCGTGGGTCACGGTTCTTCTTCTCGCACTGTCTGTGATCTAGGTGTTCAAGCAATAAAAGACAGCGCGGGACCTCAGAGCAGAGAGACTCTCGGGCGGTCATCAAGAAGCGAGTACCACCAGAGTAGGGTCTGCATGATGATGAAGTAATTTCGGTCCGGAGCATTGTGATAGAAGATGGGACGTTTAGTATGGCGCCATGTACTCTTCCCATACAAACCAGCTGGGAAGCTCTTCAGCACTGACACTGTAGTGAACGAAAGAGTACGCCAATCGTCCTCTTATATCGATCAATGTCATATTACACAGTCTTGCTGGGCCTATTATCGTTCCTGCGGAAGTCGGTAATAGTCTTTGATGACAGGCGATAAGAGGGTCGAAAGGAATGGCCTCCAAGCTGAAAGAAACTGTCACTTTGATCTGGAATCTTGAGCTCACACTTGAGAGTTGTTATCCGCAGGCGCTGTAAGCACCGCGATAACGGGTGTCAGGGAAAGCAAAAATCACTACAGGAAACAACGTAGTCATTAGCGCGACCCTATGTCCACTGTAGTAATCCCCAGGATGTATAACTTAGATACCAGAGTGAAGATATAGGAAGGCATATCGCTCTCTCATCCAATGACCAGCAATTTTAGGCTTGAGTTCGCTATGGACCTGCTCGGTGGTGAGATAGGGAAGAACGACAGACTTTTTGTTGACGTACATCACCTTCCACCGCTGCGTGTGCTAAATTCTAAGGCCATTTATATACCGCCATAACCGTCCTTGAAAATGATTCCTCCAGAGAAGAATTTTTTTTCTCTCTCATATTGCCGGGCTGGGCAAATAAACCCCGAGAGCACCGTGACTAGTAGTCTAGACTCAGAGAACGATGAGGGAAAGGTCATCGAGAGAGAACGCTTCGCACCATATACATAGTATCGCGACATAGCAATCCAGGTGAAGAATTGAACAAAAGAAGCAGCACAACCAGAAACTGAGCAACGAGTCTAGGTTTCGCGCGTCGCGTGGTGGCGTCAACGAAGAAATATGCACCGCCACCACGTGTCGCTTACTATATGGCATCTTCCCTGGCCGAGACTTGCCGAGACCAGTTCGAAGGCGAGGCTTGATCAGGTTTGAGCTGCTTGATATCCAAAATCGAAGAATATGTCTACGAGAGGACAGCAAATATACCGAATTTCTTCCTTAAATTTTAGCTTAATATTGAAACGCACTACCAACTTCAATTAACGTCCATGACCGTGACCAACATGGGTCTCTGATAGACGATAACCCAGTCACTACAGCTACTATTGACTTCGACAGGTCTATGGTACATTTAGATAGCAAAACACAAATATTAGAGCGCCTTGTGAGCCTTCAGAAACTCTTCAGCGTGCTTCTTAGCTCCCGGCGACACTCGAGGGTCTAATTCGAATAACTGAGTACAGAAGAAACAACATGCGGTGAATCAAGTCTTACTGTGCAAAGCGGCTTTGTACCCAGCAATAACTCGCGTTTCATGCTCAGCGTCAGTCCTGAGATCACTCGGATCAATTCCTGCGGCTTCGAGGATCTCACGAGCATGCTGTTTGGCTTCTTTGGACGTCCCTTCGTCTGAAACCGAGTGAGCGGAGCCATTAAAAAAAGCGGCGAGACTCACTGTGGAGGGTTGCCTTGTATCCACCTAAATAGAGGTTCATGGTGGTAACTTGCTAGTGAAACGACAATCTTACCGAGAATACGGTTTACATGTTGCTGATCCTCTTGCCCACTTACTCCAGTGAGCTCCTTAAGCCGCTCCTGCGCGAGATTTTTAGCCTCATCAGATGTGTTCGGATTGCTGATAGTTGCTTTGAGTCCGGAGATGACATGCGCCGGGTCTTTGTGATGTGCTACAATCGTGTTTGAGTACAGGAAAAGATAATGATGAAGAGCCTTACAAGATGCAGAGGCCATTGTTCGTAGTGTTATGAAGCGTCGAAGGTGTTGCATTTAAAGCTTGGGGCGGAGGTTTCACTACTTTTTATCACGGGAGTATGTATGTCTCAGGGCAGTATGATTCATAGATGACGATGTGGATATGGTGCGGAACCCACCACTTTCGGATAATCCTCGTGAGCTCCAGTCACAAGGGAAGGCGGGAATTAAATATTCGAATTGTATACTCAGGACGTCTAGATTCCCCGTCCACTATAGTCAAGAAATTTTATGGTCATTGCAATCACGTTCCCCGTCCCCATCAAAATTATGACACCGACAGATGATGATAGTCGCCGTCTCAGGATCAGGATACGTCTGATGAACATCACGATCGCAGTCTTCCTTAGAGGTATCACCACGGCGGGACTTTGACGCGACGCGAGCAACAAGGAGGGTTGGTGCAATACTCTGGATATCGGTTAAAACAAGATTATACAAAAATATTCAAAGTACCTTGATATACATCATGAAGATGTCTGCGTAAAAGCAACCATCGAGACCACAAATCACGAGCACCAAGTAGATAATCAACGACATAGAGTAGATAGCCGATGACTCAATCAGGGCCTCTAGGATCCCACAGTAGGAGTGAACACCCGTAACACGCAGGATGCGATACACAATGAGTGCCGTACACGACAACGTTGTGACCAAGGTCAATGAGAGGTAGATCACGGAAAAGTCAAACTGTGGGTCTGGGGTGGATCCTTCTGTATCCTCGATACTCTGAGTCTCATAGCGAAGAATGCTGACTAGCTGGATCATCTTTGCGACTGAAGGGTAAAAATCAGTTAAGATCGATGCAGGAGATTTTTGGACTCCTACCGGTACCTGCAACGGCACAAAATGTCGGAAATAAGACAATCCGCCATTGCCGGTCCCAGATGACCCAACAGCGCCATACCTACGAAGGAACGTCCAGTGATAGTACAAAACGACATGAGGAAGAAGCGAACGATAGTGATATCAACAAGGAATGTGCCGATACCTCCCGTAATTCCATCGATAAGTTGGAAGGCTATCCACCATGGGCTAGGGAGCTCCGCAGCCTTGAACACAGTATACAAGTTATTTCCGTGTCCTACGAATGCGCGATGGACGAAGGCCCAGTCGAACGAAAATCCAATCGTCGCGAGAAGGTAAAGCATGACAATGATGACGACTAGAAATTTCCTTCCGAATGTCGATCTAGAAACTGCAGACCATGACAACATGGGAACCAGAATAGAAAGAAGACGTACACATGGTCCAGAGGGCGACGGAAAAAATGCCCGTATATAACCCTGGAGTTCGACATCAGAGGGAGTCGAGGAGGGATGAGACAAACACACCCTGAAGATATGCTTCGAGGATCATTCGGTTCAGATCCACGTCCAAGGCTTCAAGCATGTCCTGTCTTTCCTCCAGGGAAAGGTTCCATGGTATTGATTCCATGCAGAAAGAAAGAGGGACGGAGTCTTCATATGGGCCCTGGTATGCAGTGATTATGGGATAGTGATTATTGGGTGACACCACCTGATCATCATTCCCGCCTATGGCATCACGGTGGTTGAGCATGATGGAATAAGAGAGACATCAAGAATGTACCTGAAGGTACTTAATTACTGTAACAACCATCGGAAACCTCGCAAACAACAGTGACAAATTCAAGCGTAACGTCAGGCGTCGTCGCGAAGACGAGCATAGCTGTTGTCATATTATCTGCAGCCGGAAATGATGAGAATAGTGCAAAAGATGGAAATTAGAATGGCGTTCCGATCGTTCCGGGTCTCTTTCATGATACATATAATTGTTGGAGTAGCCACCCCACAGTTAAAGATTGGCCCTAGAAGATTAAAAATCTTCGACGCTTACCAGCACAGATGTAGCAGACCATCTTGAGCGGGAGAGGCAGGAATACCAGCGATTGGACAAGAGAATCATGATGAGGTGCCCATCAAAATCGGATGGAAGCGTCGGACAACGATAAGAGCTATGTCTGCCGATAGCTTGCATCAGTTTCGATTAGCTTCAGATATCCAAGGACTATACCAGTGGACCTTTCTTCCGCGAGTTCTGGTGGCCTCGTCTGTAGGCAATATCAAGCACTGAAACACGCTGGTGACCATTAGTAGCCGAGCGTTAAACCAAACGAAAAGCCTGAAGTGTACATATGAGAAGCGAATCATAATTCAGTATATCGCGCAAAACAAAAAACTGTTGATTGCGTCGCGCTGTGGCCACGTGTTCCATCATCAGTTTAGTTTAGGGCAGGTCGGCAAATTAAATGCTTTGCTCTTACGGTCACATTAGGCCGTTTGGCGACCTGGTAACCTTTTACGTGGCAAACCTTCATCACGGGATACCGTATGGACAGTCAAATATTCTTTCACAACTCTGGGATTCCACGATGGTTCCCAGGCTGGGCTCAATAAATTTCGAGGTTTGGCTGGTAGCTGATGGGTATTGGTGCGTTCCTCGAAACCGTACCTTGAATGAAACAAAATCACTGATTCCAAAGAAGCTATGGAAACATATGGATTTTAACGGCTCATCCAACCAGGATCATGATTTCGTCCCGAAGGAGCCTTCTCCCGTATATCTATTATTCTGTCTCGAGCTGCCACATCTATTAATAAAGTAGCAATAGAAGCGCCTACATATGCTGCGCATTTCTATTTTATTTACGACCTCTCAATATGCAGTCGCATCTGATTTTGATTTGGCTTTTAGATATCCATATGCTTGTACCTGATGCTTGACACTGCTCGGTTTCTATCCTCTGACTCCCCTGGAAATATAAATGCTATAGAGCCATGATTTCGACTTCATCCCTCAACTAAACCTTGATCGGGTACTTCAGGGCAACATCTTCCTTGCGGGTCAAGCTTTTCTCCCATTTCTCCAAGTTGCAAGAAAGTATCTTCCTTCCATTCGGGATTTGACATCTCTCCAACAAGCGAGTTCAGGTTTCGAGATTTGTGATTCATGTCATAAACTCTGCTGACAGAATTCATACAGGTCGCTCCCTTTGTGTTGAATACCTTGGTCATCGTCTGCGCCTAATATATATTTTACTGTTCAATGGGTCAAGGTCCTAGCTCCGGACCCGGCCATCGGAGTCGTGGTTCTTGGCATGCCATCGATCCAACACCTAACGGTGAAGGTGAAAGTGACAGCGATAGTATGGGGGGTTCAGCTTCAAACAGGTTAGTTTAATCTTGATCCTGCTCGTTCATGTGTTAATATGCTTCTCCAGGAAAAGGTTTCTGCATTTTGAATCAGATCTCAGGTCCAACTGGGACACTCAGGCCATTAATCCTATCAGGTTCGTCATATTTGGAGTTGCGATAAAGGATAACAGATATCCTGGGTTCGCATAGGTCCTTGAATGCTTCGTCCACCCGTCTATTCATTGTAGGAAGTTCGTTCGGCACCATCGTTTTGCTGGTTATCGTAGCCGCTTACATGCGAGGAAGACGGCTACGGCGTTTACGAATAGGTGCCCCATGTACCGACGGAGAGGTCGTTCGGGATTTGGAAGATCAGAAGATCGTCCAGATGGCCGACGGTCAGGATGAAGATGTACCACCGTATTTCTCTATACATTAGAGTACGCTGTATGAATGAATAAACGATCCACTTGAGATTGTCATACTGAATTGAAGGTGGCTGGAGTACTCAACAGCCTCAAACTTAGTTGGCATATTACAATATGCCGCTCAGCGTAAATACGATTTTCCGGAATTAACGGATCGTAAATACGCAGATCATTAATATACTCCAATCCTCCTTATCGACTCCGTCGGTTCATCAATCGGGCTAGGACCCTGTGGCAAGCCCAACAGCTGCTCGAACTGCAGTCTAAACCGCTCGACAACCTCACGGTTAAGCATCCACTCATCAAACGGCTTCGTATCTAGCATGCTCCTATACTCAGCTAATGCTGCACGAACTCAATGAGCGAGGAAAGACTCCTATGGGAGATAAAGAACATACGTTTGAGTCCCTCCTTTGGTGGAACATCGTTTCTGACGCTCCATCCCCCACTAGCTATTACGCTCTGGTAATCCACCGACAACAACCAGTTCATATAGAGCTTAGCGGCGGCCGGATGCTCGGCCGTGTTGAATATCGCTGCACGCTGAGCCCATATTACAAGGGCACTCGAGTCCGAGTCTGGGGGGAGTTCTTCGACAATTCCGGTACTCGCGTTCGGGAATCCCGTAGCGGTGGTAAATGTCAAAGCCTCCGGTCCGTCAGACAGGAGGACCGCAGGTGGAGTGGCAGTTCCCCTGACCCAGGTGATACCCTGTGCGATGAAGTCGTAGATAGATTGCCAGCCGTGGGTTTGTTGGATTTGATAGAACCTTCCAGGAATGGATGAGACACAGATGAAGCGAAACTTAAGAGATACGTACTCGAATAAGACAGCGTCGTCATCGTTGGGATACGCGCTTACGATGCGGTTCTTCCATTTCGGGTCGAGGTAGTCCAGGAATTCTTTTGGGGCATCGGACGCGTTGGTCTTGGCCGTCGCATATGTGTTGGTAAAAAGGTAGTAAGCCATTCCTCTGCAGAAATAAATCAATCACTATAGGGGAGTGTGGTGCGGATATACACGTACACGAAGGCGCCGTCAGGATCTTTGATGTCGTCTGGTACTTGGTCCCATCCCGCGGGTTTGTAGTTGAGAAGCTTGGATGCCATCAGAGCTACCAGTGTCGTTACGAAAAATGATACTTACTCGACCTTCGCTCTTCCACCGAACGAAGTCATGGTACGTCTGCAGATGGGCAACGTCTACTCCCGCATTCCCGGTGAGGTTTAGAGACCGGTCGATAATACCGTCATGGTACTTGAGAGCCAAATGAGATATGTCAAACGGGGCGATCTGCTTACGTACTTTGGAAAGGTCGACAGTGATAGTGATGTTGATATTAGGGAATCTTTCTTGGAATAACTGGACGAACGGATCTTGCTGAACACTCGTATCGCCCCCAGCTCGGACGAAAAGCTGGCCTCCCTCGGCAACAGTGAGATCATAGAGCTCATCAAGGGACTGTGTTTCCACAGCTGCGGATGCGGGGGAAGGAGAACCACTGTTGGATCCAGACAGGCCTCCCAGCCAGTCAAAGATAGGCTCAAAGAGCGGAGCAGCAGATACCGCAGTCAAGTAGGTAAAGAAAAGAAAAAGAGCGATGTGCATTTGTAAGTGAGTGGACGCCGAAGAAGGGCTAAGGTTTTTGGCCGTTGACCAGATGAATTTATAATGCCATTCTGCTCAGGAAATCCTGCAACCTGCCAAAGAGCTGAGAGCCATCTAACAAGATGACATATGACATGGAGATTGTATCAATTGAGTGAACCTCCACTAGCTCGGAGTTATGGCATGGGTAGCGCGTATGACCGCACCGGTCCCCACGTTTTCCTCTTTCACAATTCAGAATGTGTATGTGAAAGTGGCCGTTTATGCTCTGGAACATAGTTCCTGTCAGATGACGATTACTTTGTTGATGGAACACTTACTTCAAGACTATTAGTGAAGCAGAGGACGTAGTACTTTGCCTATGTTCCGTTTTGACATATAAATTGAGACCGGTATTGAGCCGTTATCCAGAAGACTCACAGAAGGCGGACGACAGATTCCGATTCACCACACCTAACGCACTTTCTCCACCTCGCCCTTCTCGTTGCGTGAAGAAACAGTGATGGGCGATCGATAATTCCAGCGCTCACCTGGTGGCGCGTCTGGAGGTCTCAAATTGGCGAATCGAAGACTCTAGACCCAAACAGTTATCTGAAGTCTCCGAATTCAAATTAGAAGTTGCATTTACGATGACCGTAAAGCAAACTTTGTTGCCAAATATAACACCGATCGGTCATCTCGGTGAGCTGGACGAAGGAGAGGCAGCACCAGCTTACCTTTTCGTGGGAGCTTTAGATCTCGCTTTCGCAACAAGTCTCTTGTAGCGTGTTCTTGTAATAACATCGGTTCGTCTATTCAGAAAACTGGTTTGCGGCACATCGGTGTTGCCGTTATCGAGCGGGAAAGGCAGCAGTTCAGGGAATTTTCCGGGGAAGAAAGCTTTATTTCACTTTGAAGGAATTCAACGCGCCAAATTTTATGAGCGACAGTGCACCAGGAGAAGAGAGTTTAGCAGCCCAGAGGCGTGCATATGGCTTTGTGGCGAAAAGACACCGGGTCGGAGAGGGGATCCGAATTTGACCGCATATAATCACGTGAGATAACTCCGGTTGGTTGTCTCGGCCCAGTCCGCTTCGAGGCTGTTGCTTCTGAACTGGCAGCTCACGAAAGGTCTTTCTATTGGATTCTCTGACCCAATATTCCCTGTATCCATCAATGGAGACATTTCTCTTGCTGTTGGCTAATCGTCACAGAGGAAATTGACATTGATCTAGGTGTCAAGCGCTCTTTGCTCTGTTGAACTAGTTAATCTCTTCCTTCAGAGCGTGTCAGTGCCATGCCAGGTGACAGTCTAAACAGAAAAACTGAAATACAGAAGCACCAGTACATTCACGGTCAGCTACGCATATTGGCGATACAGACCTAGACTTTACCCTGTGATCTACCCTTGTTCTGATCAATTTGATGAGCATTGCATGTGTTGGTCATTGCGATGTCAGAGATCTGTTCCTGGAACTTTGCTGTATCCTCATTGGCACATCTACTTCTTCCTCTCTTTGTCTCGCTAAAGGTATTCACGAAATCTTTGGTGATAATCAGCATGAGTCCTTGTCGCTGGTCTCTCGATCCATAGCCTCGTCACTGGCGGGCGAAAATCGATTCAATATCAAGTTCGCGAGGTGTGACCCTTAATCTATCTTGGAAAACTCCATATACCGGAGAATTCAGAGCGACATATAGATTCTTTCAGCAGTACAATCAACAGGAACCTTATACAAGTATTTCTGGTCCTCGGTTGAAGAGTGCACTAGATGGCTTCTGTCAAAATCAACTTTGGTTTGCATATGTCACTACATATGCTCTGACCATCTAGTTTCGGGGCCAAGCTAACAACCTGATTCTTTACCAGATGCATTGGTGTATTCGTTGAAGGAACCTCGAATTTTACTTCATGCAGATGATGCCCGGCAACCAAGTACTGCGTTATGGAAGCAAAGCTCGAGGAACTTCGATATATTGTCACCCAGATAGCTCATTTCGAGTCATCATGTATCAGAAAGCTGAAGATGCCAGCAGCAGATCAGAAACTCTCGGGTGTTCGGTGTTACGGTTTATTCTTTTCTTTTCCTTTTCTTACGTATTCATGCTTACTCTACGATGCGATTCCCATCAGACATTCCCACAGTACTATTTTTAGTGTACTCAACGTGTATTTAAGTAGAGCCTCAGCTGGTCTAAACCCCAGCTTCGGCTAAGGTTTAATCTACCTAATTCAAAGCTCACGACTTCGCGAACTATCTAAGTTCGTCTCTGACTCCCTTTCATCGCCTTTGACCTCTAAGAGTATCGTCCACCGAAGTGCGAGTGGCGATCCTTAGTTGATCTAAGTTGATAAGAGTTAGTGGCTAACATTTAGCCGAAGCTCGATCTACGTTGCTCAGCGTCACTTCCGAGAAAGAGCGCTGCCCAACCTTTTTACGCAGTTCCCTATCGCTTGACCAGAGAGGTCGTCGCCTTGCGTTCGAAAGGACAGTTCCGTGACTGTTAGCGCACCGCGAGCGGACCAACGGTTCAGCACATTTCAAAAATTCATCCGATACACTTCCTTGTCGCAGTAGCCCTTTGGGTTACTCCTTTCGACCTACTGCTCCAAGCTGCAGTAATCGCCTGGATTCTACCCTTGATAATCAACGATCCCATCTTTGCAGTCTTAGTAACTGTACTCCTTACCCTTGCCCTCATACGAGTCTGTATCGCTGCACCGCTCCTAGCTGGACTGCTAGTGGCCCTGTACGGCGGATACGTTCCCCTCATCTAAAGGCACCACGAACCTATTCTCCCTACTATTAAAGTCAGCTTCACTGTTGGCAGTAATACTGCTAACTTGGTCTGACCCTTTCGACGACGAACCCCAGTTGATGACCGGTTCCAACTACGAGACCGACCTCAATCTGATCATCACCGTCCTTGCCACACTAACTATCCTCGCCCTAACCGTCGTATGGTCCACCGTCGCCGTCGGATATCCTCAAAGATAAACCCCCGGACGGATGCCCTTATCCGATGCCATTCCCGCAATCTCCGCCGTTTTCATTCTCTTTTTCTTGTCCATCTCCTTGTACCAGATCCACCGGTGCTGTCGTCAACAGAGACGAGTATGCGCACAACTCCCATTTCATTACGTACCGGTGACCCCGGCTTATCCGCCACTGATAATCTTTATCCCTGCGGCCTCGCAACAAACTCTTCACGATGGCCGACCCATCACACCCAGAGGACCTGGAGGGTCCCTCTACGGGTCGTCGCAGTCCAGCTCGGGATCCTCAGGATCGAGCACAGACTCCTACAGAAGCGCCACCGAGTCCGACGGGTCAGTCGACATCACCGATACCCGGGGGGTACTCCTCGACCGAGGAGACTCGCCCCTACCAGGCCTCTTCGACGTCTCTCCAGTCGAAGGCAA